TAGTTACTAAGACATTGCTTGACTTTTAACATTAATTTTGACAGTAGAAGAGCTCCGCTTAGTTCGAGTTTAGGTAACGAAACATTTGACTTTGAAGGTACTAATCTTGCTTTTGCTACAAATAATGATATGTTTGTACATTCCGATCTTTTAACTTTGCAATATATAACGCACGCGTATGCCTTCAGCGAAGCGTCACAAAAGCCATGCAACTCGATACTATCACCTTGCTTTGTACCTATCCATCGTTCTATTTTTAGATTATTTATGTTTTTAATTATGTCCTCTTTGATAATCATCCATTCTGTTTGAATTTCTTCCGGTAAATTGTCATCCCATTTTATATCAGCAAACCAAACATTTTGAAATATTATTTTTAACTTAGTTGATACGGGTGTTAACCAACCTAATGGGTCAAACAGCTTTGATATATCGGACAGCAATGATCTCTTGGTATCAGGCTTAGATGATGTATGATAACTTTTTGCATCAAATGAAAATGTATCTAAACTAGGGTTCCAATTGAGTCCGAGAATATTTGAGTACTCAACCTTTTTAACGATATTTTGACTATTTGAGTCGTTATTGAACTCCATTATTTCGGCAACATTCGACCTCCATTTTCTGAGATTGAATCCTCCTGATTTTAATAAATTAATCAGGTCGTAGCATAATTTCGTAGCTGAGCTGATACTATGAGCACCATGAACAAGGTCGTCCATATAAAACGATTGTTCAAGGACATCTGGAGCTTGATCTTGATAAATGCTGTTAGTGACATATTTTGCTCTTTCATCTGCGGCCAACCTTTTAAGGGTCATCATAGCCAGGAATGGAGCGGCTTTGGTACCGTAAGTTACCGTAGCTAACTGATATTCTGTAAGCGGTTGGTTTGGTGAACCACGCCATATGATTTTTTGATAATTTTGATCTTTGTTGTTGACCCTGATTTGTCGAAACATTTTTTCACAGTCTGCTGTGAATACAAACTGATACTGCCTCCACTTGATAATGAGGGCTTGCAGATCCTGTTGCAAGTTGGGTCCGCTAGACATGACGTCATTTAAAGAACAGCCTGACGATGTAGGGCACGATGCATTAAAAACAACTCTAAACTTAGTGGTTTCTGATTCCGTGCGCTCTATGCCGTGATGCGTTAAGTAACAACCGCTAGACAAATTATCGGTAACAGGTATCATATGACCTAGTGATATATATTCTTGCATAAATGACTTATAATGTTTTTCCATGCCTTGATTTTTCTTGAATTTCCTTTCTAATGATTTAAATTGTGCTATAGCTTTGGGTTTAGAATCACCCAAACTTTGCTGAAAATTCGGTTTAAAAGGTATCCTCACTTCGTATCTACCATCTTCTCTCCTACTAGTCGTGCTCTGATAATAATCTATACATTGTTGATCTTCCGTTGATAATTCTTTTTCTAGTGTAATATCTTCAATTTGCCAAAACTTTTGTATATCTACTAACTCGTTTAATATTACGTTACATTGTAGGGTTCTCACGTTGCCGCTTAATATCCATCCTAAGCGAGTGTTTTGTGCAATAGGCGAATCTTGGCTTGCTCTACAAATTCCTTCTAATAATATTAATGAGTAAATATCGGCTCCTAGTAATAAATCTACCGGGCGACTAGTGTTAAAATCGGGATCCGCTAATTTTATATTATTTAAATAAGACCATGATGGCTTGCTGAATGATTGGCTGGGTAAATTTTTTATGAGATTGTTTATGATTAATACATTTGTTTCTAATTCAAATTCATTGATTGTGGACGAAATTTCAATATGTAACATTCCTTTACAATTGTTTTCATTAGTACCAATTCCCGAAATGACTCCTTGGCATTTGGAACGCGGCAACCCTAGCTGTTGCGCCGCATTTTCTGTTATTAGCGATGCTTGCGATCCCTGATCTAACAATGCCCGTAAGTTGATATATGATCCGTTGAATGATTTAACTTTTATATTAGCTGTTGCTAATAGTATTTCTGGAACTTCTTGCTGTAGAGAAACGTGAGAGTTGCTGCGAAAATTACGCGAAGCTTCAGAAGCCGAGATTGCGGCTTCATTTGTCTGCTTCCTAGAGGTTGATGCTCCGGAGTGGTCGAATGACGTTTGCCTAAATGCCTCATGTAGTAAAGTATTGTGAAATTGGTTACATTCACGACATTTTTTATCTGATATACAGGCTTTTCCGTAATGACAATACAAGCAATTTTGACAAATATTGTATTTTGTTATAGTTTTCCGTTTTGATAGTGCAGACATATCAAGAAATTGCTTGCAATAGAACACTCCATGGTCATCACTTTTGCAAATTGGACATTTGTAATATTTTGTAGCATAGACGTTTTTATTGTTGTAATGTGATTGCGACACATTCCGGCCTTGTGGCGGAAATGATTGCTTAATATATGAATTATTATTCGACTGCTTATGATATTTTGTATGCGAAAATGATGGAATGTTATAACTTGGACTGCGTGTGATTGATTTATTCTGATTTTCTTGTTTACGCCTAGAGCTCTCCAAAGTAGTAAACTTATTTTCTAAGAATGATAAAAACTCAGATATGGTTGGTACCTCTCTGGGCTGCTTGACAGAAGCAATATATTCTCCGTGGGTCTCGCTATCTAATTTTTGGCACAAAATGTAAACTAGCAGTGGATCCCACGAATCGACAGTTATTCCTAAGTTTTTGATGGCATTTAAAGTTTCACGTGTAGTATCATGGATCCTTTTCAAATGATCGACTGATGCTTGTTGCATGACTGGTATAGCGAATAAGATATCGAGGTGTGAATTCAAAATTAATTTTCTGTTATCATATCTGTGGGTCAAAATATCCCAGCAAATTGGATAATTGTCTGATGATATTGTAAGATGCTGAATAAGACGTTCAGCCTCACCTTTGACCTTTGTCTTCAAAAATTGCATACGCTGAGCGCTTGATAGTGTTGGATTGTTGTGTATGGTCTCCATGAAAAGGTCTTTAAAGGAAGTCCATTGATGGTAACTTCCGTTAAATGTAGGTATTTCTAAGTGGGGTGTGGATTGTTCGCGGTGTAATACTGACCATAATTTCCGGTTGATTGACTTAATAACTTCATTATACTTTCTTTCGAAATTAAAATAAGTAGCCTCGTATTCAGGTTCCCTGCCATTTAACTCACTGTCCAGCTCCCAGTGTAAAGCGTCAATAGCCGACCAACGAGCTTGAATGACACGTAGCAGATGATCGAACTCCCATTTTTCGGACACGTTGCAGAGATTTATATTAGAAATTGTATGTTCGAAGGCCTTGAAATGGCTAGTTTGTTTTCGTAACATTTCATCCGTTCTACTGTTTATACCTTGCGAATGAGATGTAGGAGCTGTCTCCATAGCTTGATAAGAGGTAGGCATGTTAAGCGGAGTAGCTGGTTTGAGAAGAGGCGTGCTAGGCCTTGAACTTTCATCACGCGACTGTTGATAATTCTGTATAGTTGCCCTGATACTCAAAAATCTATCCTTCACTATTTCATACCTTTTCGAAGTAAAATAATGATGAGACTTTTCACCAAACCCACATAATTTAACATGATTCGATTGATATTCAACCCAATAATTATCTAAAGTATCAAGTCTTTGTTTTATGTACGTAGCTGTTTTTCTATCCGAACCATCTTTCTTAAAGTTAGTAAAAACTTGTTCAATAGCACCTGCGAGCTGCTCTTGAGTTTGTAAGAAATCTTCCATGGTAGACATCTTCTCAGTTGATAATATAAGTTGATAAATAAGATATAAAGATACGCCTTACTTGGATAGGATGTCGCCTGATGACCGTGACCCTGATTACTCACGATCCCAGAAGTCCAAGTTGTAGTTGTTAAAATTCTTCGATAACTACAGTGTAAATCCACCTCACTTGCGACACAGAGTCACGTTTTCCGAAATCACGTATGCACTGAGTCACTCGCGAGGCCCTTATACGAAGGACCAAAAAGATGTACGGGTTTTGTACACCTTTTATGATATAGAGAGAGAAGAGAAAGTCTTGATATGTTTAAATGATATATTACTGATAACAAACTGATAATTACGAAACTAAAATGATATGACTGTGAGAACGCGTGGTACGAATAATGACCGATGACGAACTGATTCATAATTAACCTAAATAAATGCATGTGGCGTAAAATGCCGACGGGGCAAAATGTACGCGCTTGCTCGTACATGTACATTGCTTCGCATCATTTCTATATTAACCTAATTTACTTATAATTAATTTAATATCGTTCAGTTCACATGCATCAAGTTATACCACGCGTTCTCATTAGTTTCATGTTTCTGGTAATGAAATACAGTAAAACCCGTTTAAGACGATTTCACAGGGACTCAACAAAAGACGCATCTTAAGCGGGAAAGCGTATTATGCGGGATGCGAGAAATTTCGAATGTAGGTATTGAGGTATTAAAAGTACAATATTTAAAAATTATGTATGTCATAAAACATGTAGTGTATTATTAGTTATTTAAATTAATCACAAGATTTTCAACAAACTTTTGCATTGTGTCTTCGCTTTGATTCAAAGAAGTTACATAGCGTCTTAAATCATTAACTGCAGATAATGCCTGGGCGTGTGACAAAATCAGAGTTGACTCATCTTCTTCTTGATCAATATCACTTAGGGCCTCTACTTGTGTGATATTCACATTCTCATTGAATTTTATGCTGACGCAAGAGATAATATGTGTGGTACGTGTTGGTGATTTAGGCGTATTAAACGGGATAACGAATCATATTAAGCGTTAAGAAATGTATGAAAACATGTCTCAAATTGCAGGGACTGATGCAAAATCGCGTATTATGCGAGAAATTGTATTAAGCGTGATCGTCTTAAACGGGTTCTACTGTATATTCTATTTCCAAAGTTATTTACAGTTTTATAATTTTATCAGGTCTGTAATTTTCTATGTTACGGGCTCCCTGTACTATACCTGTGCCTGGAGCCGTTGGTTAAGCGCCGTGTCGAGTTGAGCGAGCAGAGCGGAAGCGGAGGCGGGTTCCGCTGCTGCTAGGGCCGCACCCGCCGCGCCCACTAACTGTCGCATCACCCACACGTCGCGCTTACCCGACTCGTTCTAAGAAAACATACTCTTTAATACATTTTGAGATCCCACTAATACAAGTTGAAAAAAAAAAACTATGACAAAGACTAAAACTACGTATTCTGTACGCCCAAACAAATAATATTACAAAATATTATGCGTGGGAATCATTTGCATTATTAAGTAGAAAAAATACATTTTTTTGCCAGTACGCAATGTATAGCGCAGCGTGCTACTGTGGCGCTACGCAAAGAAAGTGCCAGTGTGAAGTGTATATGTGTGTGTAAGTGCGTCGATAAAAGAGTTTCTAAATAACGTTTTGAAAATTATTATAAAAAAACTTGAAAAAAAATTGTGACCTTGACCTTCAATATCTCCATAACCATAAATTTCCCAGGTATGGTCCGAAAGGAAAAAATTATCGTCATGATGTGGAAAATACGTGGTCTTCAACTTCGTTAAAGGATTTTTGACAACCTGTATTATAAATGTTTGTATGATCTTTTTTGAAGTTTTTAGGTTAAAAGATGCAGCATGAGGCACCTGTAGGTGTACGCGCGCTATATGCACGATGTCGGGCGCCACGCTGGCGGCGGGTGCGGCGCAGTCGGCGCATAGCTTGCGCAGCGCCAGCGCGGCCGGTGCGGGGCTGCGGGCTAGAGCGCCGCCCGCGCCGCGGACCAACTCCGCTGCTAGGACGCACCCTCCGCCTTCTAGCGACCCCAGCCATGACGCGTAGCTACCTGTGAAAGGATGCCGCTGTTAGTTTTATTTTATTTTATTTTTATTTTGAGTGATTTACGAAGAGACGCCATATATTTGGATGGAATAGGGAGATTAGGCCATGACCCACTACACCGACCCGGTGCAGATTGATGTGTGTTAACGACTTTAGATGTAGCTGAGACCAATATTTTTTGGTCACCCATCCAATGACCGACCATTGCATAAGTTACTTAACTTCCACGAAGGCAGACCGACGCGTTAACCATCTGCGCCTGATAATTTTTTTTTTGACCAGGCGGTACGAAAAAAATTTAAAAAAATATGCAATATAAAAGATTAAAAAAGTTAATAATTGTATATTCTGGCAGACGCAGCAGTGATCCCTAGCTAGCAAGCAATGTATTCTACCGAGGCAGTCGAGCGCGGTGTTGAGCGTGCGCAGCGAGCGCGCGGCGTGCGTGGCGGCGACGGCGTGCTGCAGCAGCGGCAGCTCGCCGGCGGGCGCGCGCTGGTGCGGCGCGGCGTCGGCCAGCGACAGGAACACGTGCCGCTGTGTATGTGTGTGTGTGTATATATCACCGAGGCAGTCGAGCGCGGTGTTGAGCGTGCGCAGCGAGCACGCGGCGTGCGTGGCGGCGACGGCGTGCTGCAGCAGCGGCAGCAGGCCGGCGGGCGCGCGCTGGTGCGGCGCGGCGTCGGCCAGAGACAGGCACGCGTGCCGCTGTGTATGTGTGTGTGTGTATATATCACCGAGGCAGTCGAGCGCGGTGTTGAGCGTGTGCAGCGAGCGCGCGGCGTGCGTGGCGGCGACGGCGTGCTGCAGCAGCGGCAGCAGGCCGGCGGGCGCGCGCTGGTGCGGCGCGGCGTCGTCCAGAGACAGGCACGCGTGCCGCTGTGTATGTGTGTGTGTGTATATATCACCGAGGCAGTCGAGCGCGGTGTTGAGCGTGCGCAGCGAGCGCGCGGCGTGCGTGGCGGCGACGGCGTGCTGCAGCAGCGGCAGCTCGCCGGCGGGCGCGCGCTGGTGCGGCGCGGCGTCGGCCAGCGACAGGAACACGTGCCGCTGTGTATGTGTGTGTATATATCACCGAGGCAGTCGAGCGCGGTGTTGAGCGTGCGCAGCGAGCGCGCGGCGTGCGTGGCGGCGACGGCGTGCTGCAGCAGCGGCAGCTCGCCGGCGGGCGCGCGCTGGTGCGGCGCGGCGTCGGCCAGCGACAGGAACACGTGCCGCTGTGTATGTGTGTGTATATATCACCGAGGCAGTCGAGCGCGGTGTTGAGCGTGCGCAGCGAGCGCGCGGCGTGCGTGGCGGCGACGGCGTGCTGCAGCAGCGGCAGCCGGCCGGCGGGCGCGCGCTGGTGCGGCGCGGCGTCGGCCAGCGACAGGAACACGTGCCGCTGTGTATGTGTGTGTATATATCACCGAGGCAGTCGAGCGCGGTGTTGAGCGTGCGCAGCGAGCGCGCGGCGTGCGTGGCGGCGACGGCGTGCTGCAGCAGCGGCAGCAGGCCGGCGGGCGCGCGCTGATGCGGCGCGGCGTCGGCCAGAGACAGGAACACGTGTAGCGCGGCCTCTCTTCGCGGCTCGTTGTCCCGCGCGCCCTCGTACGCGGCCGCCACGCGGGACCAACACCACTCGCCCAGCACACCGAAGCAGTACATCTAAATAATATAGCATAGGCGATTAACCTTGCGTTGTTACTATTTGCTTGTTACTCAAGCAAGTTAACGCAAGTTATCGTGATCAATCAAACAGATCCCGAATATGTGCCATCATTGGAGTGCTAATGGTTTATAATAATAATAATAATAAAAGCATTTATTTCAGACACGAGATCCATATCAAAATTATAAAAAAAAAACAATACAACAATTACATAAAAATAAATAATAATAGCAATAAAACAATACATTTAAAACACATATGTCAAACTTAAATGGAAATAATATTGAATTAAAAACAATTAAATTAAAACAGAATAAAATAATTTAAAACATTCAGTCAAATTTTGTTCAATTATTAATTTAAATTCTCAATTTATCTGAAATTGTAATTTGTACCCATCGTTTATACATATTGGTCGTCATCAATCTTTCCGCCAAACTGGTGATAATTTTGTTATCACACTTGCAAACTCGAGACATAAAAGAAGCTACCCGTTTTCTTTGAATGGAATTAAACGAGTCAACGCATTTATGAAATGCCATTTTTATGCTGGCACTTCACATTATTATCCGTATCTCCAAGTTGTAATTTTGACAGCAATATGACTTAGGCATACTGTATGGGAAATGAAAAGTAGAGAATGTTGTCAATATTACAAATAGCTAACACGAATGGTCATGTAAAGTACCGGCAAATCAGAATGTGGTTCACCAAATGGCAGCAAACGTCATAAGCGCTTACGATACCAAAGTATACATAAAGCCATAGAATCTTACTTATCTACAGAAACCAAAAAGGAAGAAATAGTATGTGGTTCACGATTTCGAAGTCAGACGGAGTGAAAAGACAAAATTAAATCACATATTTACCGATTAGAAATGAAAATCTACGAGTATTCCATGTTTCAACCTTACCCGACTTCCAAATAATGAATATATTGTATTCATTCATTCATATATAACATTATATCTTACTTTTTGTTTCGATTTTGAAGTCAGTTTTATTTTTTATTTCTTTTTTTTTCATTTCATCCAGGTTGTGAAAATTACCTTGTCCAAGTAAACAAAAAATAAAAACGCTCATATAATAAAAAAAATACTGTGTTCTGAATGTTCAAACAAAATTTTTTTGGAACCAATCGGAAGTATCTCTCATCGAATAAAAAAGAATCACTCAAATCGGATCAGAAATCTTGAAGTAATCGGTGTACATATAAGCAAAATATAGTGAAAATTACATCGTCCAAATTACGGAAATTTCAAAAATATTATATAATATTCCACATCGAACAAAAAAAGAATCACGTAAATCGGATCAGTAATCTCGGAGTAATCGGTGTACATAAATAAAAAAAACATACCGGTCGAATGTAAGGTGGAGGCGAGCGGAAATCAGCTCAAAGGCACTTTCTCTTTTAATTCATTTTTGTACTTGATTTGCTTACCACAGTATCAGCTACGTCTTGTCTGTAGCACCGTAACAGCTCCAAGTCGTCTGTGGACATTGCTTGTTCTTCGGCCGCTTCGGATTTGCATACCAACGCGTCGAGCAATCGCGTGAACACCGTTTGCCATATCGGATTCATCTTCTCTGTGTCTACCATTACATTTAAAATTTCATCCTGCACAATAAAAAAAATAATAGGACTGCTTTTAAAATTCTTGGATAGCACTTATCTGCCGAGTAAATTATAACTTAATCAAAAAAGAAATATTCTCCACAATTATAACCGTGCTGTACATCAATATCATTTGTAAATACCCGCATTTCAAAATTATTAGAAAAAAGAATGAACAATTTAAATTGAGAAAAAAACATTCATTAATACGAAACTATTTTACGCGAATCATCTGAACATATTTAAGTTTACACACCCTATAGCGATCAAAATCAACGACCAGTATACCCTTAGCACGGACCAATATTGAATTCGAATAGTAGAATTCGATCTCGATATGCGTCGAAAGTCAAGAAGTTTTCTATGGAAGATTTTTAATTATCGTTCTGTCCTTTGTGACACTATTCAAATTTCGAGGGATAGAGGGAGAGAGATATATGTGTGTGTGAGGGAGACACACTCACCTGCAGCGTATACCAGAAGCCGAACACCAGGTTGGACCTGGTCTCGTGCAGCGGGTAATACCCAGGCGCCGCCTGAGCAGCCAGTAACAGTTCTATCATTTGCCGTGCGCCTTCCTGTTGCGCTTCCATACCGCCAATCCCTTCCATCGCTTGGACTAAGGCGCGCGAATGACACTCCCCCAATGCGACGCAGCACGTTATCAGTGCCGATAACAACTCCTGTAGAATACAATGTAATGTACAGTGGCGGTCAGAAAATCTTTACCAGTTTTCAAATTAGATTCTATGTCACACTTTTTTCACTATAGTCTAAAATGCCATATCAAGTAACTTATTACCTTTCAAAAGTTATTATGCAATACGACGCATCGAGAATAACAAAAAGAATTATATATTACTTTTTGATATTGAAACTCATTTCTTTATTTATTGAAATGACATTTATAAAAAAATTATTGTTTGAACATTGTTTGGATAAGAGCAAAATTTTACGAATAATATTTTCATAACGAAATAAAATGACAAGTTTGACCCTGGAGCAAATGGCTGAAATAATATTTCTCTTCGAAGATGGACAAGTATTAGTGATATATCACGATAACTCAATATATCGCGACTCACTCTGAGGTTTTGGATCCGGCGTCACGGCGAGGAAGGGCACTTATACGCAGATTCCCTTTTTAAAAATATTTTAATTCAGATTTTTACTATATTTCTTTTGAATATACTGAGATTATGATGAGTGAGTATCTATAACTATAATTGCGTGATAGGTGTCGCGAGCGCTGCTAGTTCAGATATCAGTTGTAACGCGGAATGAGCGTATCGAGACGCTGCCGGCCTATAGCAAGGTGCGGCATGTTATTCTTAGTTACCTCGTTGATAGAATTGGGCACGTTGTCCCGCTGCATGATAGGTGCCGCGAGCGCTACTAGATAAGAGATCAGTTGTAACGCGGAATGGGCGTATCGAGACATATTCGGACCACTGGCAAGATGCGGCACGTTATTCTTAGTTACCTCGTTTACAGAATTGGGCACGTTGTCTCGCTGCATGATAGGTGCCACGAGCGCTGTTAGTTCAGATATCAGTTGTAACGCGAAATGAGCGTATCGAGACACTTCCGGTCCGCTGCCGGCCTATAGCAAGGTGCGACATGTTATTATTAGTTACCTCGTTGATAGAATTGGGAACGTTGTCCCGCTGCATGATAGGTGCCGCGAGCGCTATTAGTTCAGATATCAGTTGTAACGCGGAATGGGCGTATCGAGATATATTCGGACCACTGGCAAGATGCAGCACGTTATTCTTAGTTACCTCGTTGATAGAATTGGGCACGTTGTCCCGCTGCATAATAGGTGCCGCGAGCGCTGCTAGTTCAGATATCACTACCCCTAGCACGAACCATTATCGAATTCGATTAGTTTGCAAACCGAAATGTCAATGTCAAATTTTGTATGGAAACTTGAACAGTAGCGGCACAAAGTACGTAACGAGAACTAAAAATCAGTACACATTTGACAATGACATTTCAGACTCGCAAACGATACGAATTCGATATTGGTTCGTGCTACGGGTACAGTTGTAACGCGAAATGGGCGTATCGAGACATATTCGGCCCACGGGCAAGATGCGGCACGTTATTCTTAGTTACCTCGTTGATAGAATTGGGCACGTTGTCCCGCTGCATGATAGGTGCCGCGAGCGCTGTTAGTTCAGATATCAGTTGTAACGCGGAATGAGCGTATCGAGACGCTTCGGGTCCGCCGCCGGCCGCTCGCAGTGCCGCTAAGCACATCTCACAAGCGTCCAGGGCGCTGTCGCTCACGCACTCGTTGCTTCTAGTTAGGTAAGCAAAATATGACTTGAATATAAATATTTCCAACACTCACAACAATTAGCCTAGCCCCAAAGTAAGCACTGTAAGGCTTGTGTTATGGGATACTAGGGTAACGGATACAATACATATACAGTGCATATATAGAAATAAATACATATTAAACATCCATGACTGGAGTACTAATGCTCGTATTCATCACACTCACAAACATCTGCCCCCACCGGGACCTCTCGAGTAGGCGACACCTTAAAACCCGGCGTACAAACCACTCGGCCACGGAGGTCGTAATATGAATAAACTTCTAGCTTGAAAACTGTTAGCACGATTTTTAATGTTACTGTTCGGTGTAATGCAACCGAATACCTTTGTACTCACTTTGTTTTTAGGTCAATTTCGATGTTAATGAATTAGTCCGAAATTACTCGTCAACCGCAACACGCGAATTTATCAATTATTATTAACCCTTTACTGCAGTCATCAAGAGCTCAAATTTGAATGTACAGTAGAACGCCGATTATACGAATTAATTGGGACCGGGGTCGATTCAGATAATCTGACATAGACTGGTGATAAAGACAAAGGAACTGTGACACATAGAATAAACCTTATAAGTTTAACAAACATAGTTCTACAATACTAAATACAATAATAGAGGTACATAGTAGCAAAAAAAAACCGCGCCTCGCAAAACATTTATTGTCTTGCCTCTAGCTTTCAACCATAACGGATGAAATATATCTGGACTCCAGCGAGTTCCAACTTGTTACAACAAAACAAAACAATAATAACTTGGTTTTAATTTTTTATATCAGGTACGCTTAGGACTGATTCGGATAATTGGCGATTCGGTTAACCGGCGTTCGGATAATCGGCGTTATACTGTATTAAGTATATGCTGGGGCTAAACACTTTGTGGTTTCATTCGTGTAAGAAAACTTCGTCTTCAGCCTACAGTAATGTGCATGGCTACGCCACGGACATAGTTTTGAATTTCATTGCAAAACTAAACAAAATACGAATCAGTATCGTTTCGACAAAGATTACTATATATATTTTTTTATTATTGAGCTATAGTGGATAATTACTTCTATATTTTTATTCATTCAATCCATATCAATTTACGATTTCTTATCGCATGATGCTCGAGCATCGGTTGCTTACATTGTACCCTAAATATCTACGAATGATAATTAAAACTCACGTGTATAATAGATGCACGACACTCAACAGCGCTCGACATAGAGGCATGCGATCGGCTAGATTCCCCGCGCCCGCGTCAGCATCAATCGCGTCTTCACCGCCTAGCGTCAACCAACTGCAGGCGCATGTCGCAGCGTTCAACCAGGACTGTATCAATTGTTCTGACGGCGGCTCTGCACTGTAGTCGCTGCGAGAAGCATTCATACATATACATAAAGGTATAATAACACAGCTAAGCACAGAGGCATGCCATCGGCTAGATTCCCCGCTACTACGCGAGCATCGATCGCGTCTTCACCGTCCAGCGTCAACTAACTGCAGGCGCATGTCGCAGCGTTCAACCAGGATTATATCATTTGTTCAGAGGGCGATTCCGCAATGTAATCATCGCGAAAAGCATTCATACATATACATAAAGACGCAGAACACACAAAAAGGTTAGAAGGGTAATCATAGATCGTTTGTAAGGGAACCGATGTCACCGGCTCGGCTCCACTACACTTCCACCTAGTAGATAATAGCCAATCAAACGACGCGACGTCATACGATCGAACCAATCAGCGCTCACACCCGAAAGCAATGACGCATTTAGAACCAAGTTTTGGTGAAAATATGAGCATTTGCTCATTCATAACTGTGGCGCGCCTGCCCCGCCTACAAGGCCCCTCTAACCAACTAACACAGAATGAGTATTATGTGCATAAAGGTATAATAACAGGGCTGGACACAGAGGCTTCGCGGTGGATTGGAGAAGTTGCTCGCGTCTTCGAGCAGCAAGCAAGAAGCAAGTTGTCAACCAGATGCAAGCGCATGTCCCAGCATTCAACCACAATGGTATCATTTGTCCAACTATGGCGTTTGATTAGCAACACAAAAGCCTTTCATTTTGGTTAGGTGAATATTTTATGAGGTACTACCAAAATTCTTTCAAATTCAGGTCTTCTATGTTTCATTCTAATGTTCTATAAATTCATTGGATCTTCAAAAATTTTATTGGCAACTCAATCTTTGCAGTAGCTTGTTTATTTTTGTTTACCTTTAGTATTTTTTGTAATGGAACTGAGATTAACTCATCATTGTGAACTTACTTTTACTTAAGTTATTATAATACTGTTTTCTCAATCTATTATATTTTTTTTAATAAGTGGTAAACGATTAAACAAACTTACTTATAAACTGTCTGCAAGTATCTGAGCATATCACTCAAAACTGCTGGGCATGCTTGATGCAGAGATGCCCGATTCTTGGCACGAAGTGCAGACCCCATGGTCATGCTATTGTACTGTGAAATAGAAAATTATTTCTATATTTATATGTTATCTATGTATTAGCAAAAGTTAGTTGTTTAAGCTACTTGCCCATCCTTAAAAAAAACCAAAGTCAATACCAAACAACCAAACCAAATCACTCGAGTCTGGTGAAGTCCACAAAGTGTCATTTTGCAAAAAGAAGAAGATTAAATCATAGTTTTTTTTTGTGATTTTATTCAATATTCCATATAGATATTTCCAGACAAATTAAACAAATAAGCTGGGATTAATCAAAGTATTCTTTAAGGAAAATTCTTATTTTAGAAACATTATTGAAAAGCAGATGTAGTACTACTAATAAATTTCTTACTTCTTCAGGTATCACAGTTAGAACCTCCAGTAATAAAGACATATTTTCAGCTGCTGATAGTGGTCTTAGTAAGGTTGCTAAATCTGTTGTGCCTTGCTGCAATATAAATGCTGCTAACTGAAACAAAATGAGTTTAGAATTTTCACAACATACTCATACTTTTTCCTTGGTGCCCACAGAAGAGCACACCAAATCCAAGGCTTACATAGACTACCAACTTCTATCAATTAATTATAATTTTATTTCTTAGATCTCAAAACTAAATCACTACCAAATTTCATCTAAGGGAAAAAAAAGGATCGTCCATATGTTGTACGACAAACGCACTGCTTCGGCACCGCAGCAGGCCGTCAAGAAACGCATAAATTGAAAGTGCCCTAAGTCTATTGAGAGGTTTAAGCATGTAAAAGTAACAGGCAGACACACATTCGCATTTATAATATTTGTTTGGATTTGATTGAATTGCTCACTATAATTATTCAGAATATCATTACTTGCAGAATATTAAATGTATAGTCATACTTACACTTATGCATAATCTATTGGTAACAATTTTAGGACCATTTGAATATGTAAATACAGCTTGCAAAATTTTCTCTTTCAATTCCTCATAGCTTTCAGGAGGTACTTCATTCCAACACCTCAAGATTTTAGTATGCAGAGTGGTAGCACCATAAAATTGTATTTCAGTTCCCTGTAAATAAGCAGTCATGCTAAATAGTAAGGGATACGATTCCAAAATGAATGTTCTGTCTTTAATGTCTAATAGCCGGTAATAATACCTTGGTTGGCTGAAGAAGCTCCCAGACGAAATTCCAGGCTTCGGGTACTCTTTGAGCAGCAGTGAGCCATGCATGAGCTCTGGCCCGTTCGACCTGCTCCCCGTTATAAAACACAGAAACGGCATATTCCAAATTCTGTGCTGTATACTCCATCACAGGATCACAATTTTTATCAAATTATTAGACTAAGAACCGCTTTAAAACATAATCACAGTAGCAATGGTAACTTATTAGTAATAGCAGCTGCAGCAGACAGCTCTCGAAAAAAAGAGCGAATATTATAAGATAAATAAATAGGTACACAATCGCAAAATTCAAGCAATTTTCCAATGGTACTATACTTCCATTTTAGCATTGATTGTCTATCATAATGAAAAACAAGCACTAACCCATATGAGTTACATGTGAAAGACAAAGATAAATGAATCTGAAAAAATGTATAAGATTTGGTCGTATAATACAGCTGGTTTTGACATCTAACAATGGCTGCGTTCAAGAAAATTGCTATTTAATCTACATTATTTATAGATTTATAAATCAAGCAGTTTTAATGATTAAGCGCGATACTGTGGCTAGATATAGACGCTGTTCAGACATCAACCATTCACAACATCTTGAAAAAACCAAAAAAAACTGAACATGTTGTTATGATCGATCGATTAAGGCGCTTATGGCATGTTTAAGTACCCCTTTAAATTTCATCACATTCAATCATACATCCGTTTCGTAAAGTCTGTGGTCATTCGTCATTCTTCGTTCGTTAATTTGTCGTTCGTTTCACTCATTCAGTAGAGAAAGCAGGAAGTTGATTGTATTGTTCAGAGAAATAATTTTTGTGATACTAGGAAAATGAAAATAGAAGAAGTAAAAAGCACTGCAAAGACTCAAAGAATATCAGCCCACAGCCATGTCAAAGGCTTGGGTTTAGATGAAAATGGTGTTCCTATTCAAATGGCAGCCGGTCTCGTGGGCCAGGAATCAGCGAGAGAGGTATATCATTATTACTTCCTACGAAATAAAAAATTGAATCTCTTAGTTTTTCAGTTATTTATAAATAATACAGCATTGCTATAGTTTAATGCATGTTATAAAATTTTTGTATCGATCAAATATTGAGGTTATAGATGTTACGGTTACCATGGTGTCCACGGTATTTGTTTATGTTTAGTTTAAAACAAAAAGGGAAGATTGCTGCTGCGGCTCTAACTGTACTGTTTAAATTGTGGTGCACGAACACAATTCGCTTTAGTCATAATTCGACATTAAAACACACTCCATCTGCACTCAATATAAATATTGCGTGTATTCTATGTTATATAGCTAAAACAATGACTTCGAGGCTTTTAAAAAGAACAAATAGTTCAAGATCAAATAGCAAATTCCACGGCAACACTTTTCATTGTTAAAACTATAAAATCATATTTTCTCAAAAATCATGGGTTGTCTTAAAGGTTATTTACTTATTCGCCATTTGTTACCAAGAAAAGTACAACAATACAGCTCAGCTCAGCCATTGTAGAGAGATTTGCTTATGTAGTTGAGTTGGAGCACATTTCATTTGATGCTAGTATATCTTCTCTTTTTGTTTTAATCTAAGTGTTTATGTTAAACTTGCGAACCAGATTGACTTTGCACAGGTTAAAGAAATAAAGCACTTTGTCTCTCAGAATAACGTCACTTTTTCGTTATTAAAAGAAATTTCATGATTAGTTCAGTAGTTCCAAAGATCCACAATCAAAGTTTCAAAATTTTATTCTTATTATTTAAATATATCTTATAAATGATTATTTTTCTCCTAAGTTCTAAGTACTATTAAAAACAGGACACAATAGGATATGATTTTCATTTATACATACATCACACTTGGAAGAAAGGTTTACTATTATATTTGATATTATCTATTTGGATCCAACCCTGTTATAAAAATTACATTATTTTGAAGACATTTTTTTTTTCAATTTCCAGGCTGCAGGTATAGTTGTTGATATGATTAGAAGTAAAAAAATGGCAGGAAGAGCCTTACTTCTAGCAGGCCCACCAGGAACTGGCAAAACAGCCATTGCTTTGGCCATTGCTCAGGAACTAGGCAATAAGGTTGGTGTAACATTAAATAAAATTCAATATCATATCAACAGTGGAAAGGCAAAATCGCTTGCACCCCACTTTGGTTGAAAAGGAGTTATATAAATATAATTTTAATCAGATTGTTCTTTTTCTGCTTTGATCTGTATATATTTTGTAAAGATTTGAGTACTTTTATGGCACAATGCTAATGCGACATAAATTTTGGTGTTTTTTGAACTAATGGACTTTCACCCTACTAATTGGCATATGATTTGATGTTTGCTTGACAAAAAATGTGTGGTGGGCTGAGTGATTATCGCTTAAGCAACATCTAATTCATAGAGTGATTAAAGTGTTTTTTTTGCACTTAGTTTATAAATATTTAACAAAATAAGCATATAAGCAAATTAAAAAAAAAACAGTTTAGTGTTGATAATTTTGGAAAATAAATAGTTGTTACTGCAAATAGTAAATTTAAATATATTTTAACAGGTACCATTCTGTCCAATGGTTGGTAGTGAAGTGTACAGTACAGAGATTAAGAAAACAGAAGTTTTGATGGAGAACTTCCGACGTGCCATTGGGTTACGTATACGCGAAACCAAAGAAGTTTACGAAGGAGAAGTTACAGAGCTCACACCAGTGGAAACTGAAAATCCAGCTGGAGGTACTTTAGTGCTGTTTATATATACTTTGACATGATTTCAAATTTATTTGGGTTACTAGAAGTAATATTTTGTTATATTTTCCTAATTTATAGGTATAAATTAAATTTACTCATACAGTATGCCAGTAGTGTCTATAAGCTATGGTAGCTGATCACATGCTTAATGACTATCCTTTAAAAAATTCTGCTTTAATTTGCAGGATATGGGAAAACAGTATCACATGTAATCATAGGCCTCAAAACAGCCAAAGGTACGAAACAATTAAAACTTGATCCAACTATTTATGAATCTCTGCAGAAAGAGAAAGTGGAAGTGGGTGATGTTATCTATATTGAGGCAAACTCTGGGGCAGTGAAGCGTCAAGGCAGAAGTGACACATTTGCCACTGAGTTTGATCTAGAGGTAAATTTCGAGTTATAATTAAAAAATAGATTGACCTTGAAGTTCATAATTTTGGAGGACTTAGTTATCATACTTTTTGCTGGATTTTATTGCTGATGTGTTTCATATTAATATGTAAATTTTTAGGCTGAAGAATATGTGCCTCTACCTAAAGGTGATGTTCATAAAAAGAAAGAAGTTGTGCAGGATGTAACTCTCCATGACTTAGACTGCGCTAACGCAAGGCCTCAGGGTGGCCACGACATTATGTCTATGATGGGGCAACTCATGAAACCCAAGAAAACTGAAATCACAGGTATAATATTCACAGAATAAAAGTGTTTGACTTTTAATAGATTTTTTACTTCTGCTATGCTCAATTGTGTGTAAAATAAGTGTTATCAATGAATACAGAAGTTGTATTAAATGATAAGTAAGTACTGAGTAAATGTAGTACTGCAGCTGCATGGACACACACACACACACACACACACACACACACACACACACACACACACACACACACACACACACACACACACACACACACACACACACAAGCACGCACGCACGCACGCACCCACGTACGCACGCACGCACGCATGCACACACACACACACACACACACACACACCCACACACACACACACACACCCAAAAATTCTTGAAAACCCTTTTGTTTGGGTATTTAGTGTTTGTTTTTCTTGATCTTAATTTAAATTTATTATTCATGTTATTAATATTATATGATTTTTACACAATTGTTCAATTCAATTAAATTTTTGGTGATTATGACTGCGTCTTATTACGTAACGATTCTGCCAATGTCTGGGTTAAAGGAGATAAGGTATATATTGAGCCTGTTCGGTTTTGTTGTTGTTGTGTAGTATGTCGACCGCTGCACTCGTTTAGTATCTGTTTTTGAATTGAATGTAATAAGTACTGATATATAATAACGCCGTAAGTATCTAATGTGTACATAATGAGTTCCTGTAATTGGCCTTAAGATTGTATTTATATTTTATTGTATTAAATCCTCAAAAAACCGATGTAGAAACTTTGTTAAAGATAAATTAATATTTTTTTTTTGCCACAATCAAACATCCAAATCATAAATACCAAGGCCATCTCTTACATATTAAACAGAATGTTTGTCGTATATACTGAACAGAATGTTTTTGTTTAAGGTAATTGTGTGATCTTTTCATTACAAGACCATTTACAAATTTCATTTTAGTCCTTGTTGACATTCCAAAATAAACACAACATTAATCTATGTAATTTGTTAAAAGTAAACAAAGTTTATTTAATTTGTATTGTTTTTTTTCAGACAAACTTAGGAAAGAAATAAACAAGGTAGTCAATAAATACATTGATCAAGGTATTGCAGAATTGGTACCGGGAGTTCTATTTGTTGATGAGGTAAGTAAAATACTGATCAAAACAGAAAGTCACACTCCCTCATATGGGGGTTTCAGAGAGATTTTATTACCTTTTATTAAATAACTGACCTTCAATCATGTATTATTATTTTACCATAGGTTCACATGTTGGACATAGAAACATTCACCTACTTGCATCGTGCATTAGAATCTGCTATTGCTCCAATAGTTATATTCGCAACAAATCGAGGGAAATGCCAAATTAGGTAAGTTATCAAAGTAGGTAAATATTTGTTTTTAATACATTATTCCAATTGAATGATTATGTGATAAATTTCATACTTTTCAATAATCATTCAATTGCCTAAGCTGGTTGGAGACTCATAAGACAGAATTGTAATCTGTGAAATCTAATGTACATTATAAAGTTTATTACACTAAGAAATTAATTATTTACTTTCAGAGGAACAGAAGACATAATTTCACCACACGGCATTCCATTAGATCTTCTAGATAGGTTACTAATAATCCGTACACTCCCATATAATAAAGCAGAGCTTTTACAGGTAATTTATTTTAATAGATTTAAAGGCAGAATATTTTAAGACATCTTTTATTTATTTATCTCTTATTATGGTTTTATAAAAAAGTCTTTTATGTATTACACATTCATATGTGGCTTTATTTACTTGCCTGAAACTGTACAGGATGTATCGTTAATACTGTATACAGAAATGAATTATTAATGAAATGGAAGCATTACTGTCTAACAAAGGCCGCTAAAACATGCACACACAGCATAATACTTTGACCAAATCAAATATCTAAAAATGAATGTGGCTATCCATTCATTAGGTAAGATAATGTTAATTAAACGGAAATCCCAACCAAGCCCATGATCGGCGTGTTGATCGCAATTTTTTTGCCCCGCCCACTTGATCATTTGATTTTTTGTGTAACCACTTTTTGGCAAAGTTCGTATCCCAAATTATTTCTAATTTGTAGGTATACAGTTATACACATACTTTAACTATCATTGTGATTTAATTTTCTTTAAGTTTTCATGAGAAATAGAGTATTTTTTAGGCAAATTTCACTTCTTATGTTTTCATTTTTGTTGTCTTCATTAGATCTTAAAACTACGAGCGTCTACCGAAGGTATAGCAATTGAAGAAGATGCTCTCACAGCATTAGCTGAAGTTGGCGCCTCCAGTACGTTAAGGTATGTAACTCAAGTTAAAAGCAGTTATGGCATGATCTTGACTTGTGAGGAGAAACTGTATATTTGTAGAACTGCTGACCTGTAGACGTACCAATATCAGATGAATGCATTTTGTACCCAACAAAAGTCCCGTTTTCACTAGTGAAACATAGGTTTTCGCTAAATAATCAGCATAATGCTTTATGCATCGTCCTAAATAATTGCGAATTCTCTGTGTCAAATTCAAGTATTGGTTTTATAGGCCCTTATCATCATAAAATATATTATGGTTTTATAGGCCCTTATCATTATAAAATATATTATGTCCATGTTTTTAAAATCTTATTTATAGTTTAGGTAGCTCATGACTAAATTTTCCCGAAATTTAAATAACTTACGATTGAAAATGGTCCTTCGAACCAGAATAATAAATAGGGATCATTTGCACGAGCGCTATTTTTAATGGATCGGACAGAATGGACGGAGCGGTATAATAGAACAGTACCCTTAGCACGAACCAATGTCGAATTCAAATCGTTTGCGAGTCCGAAATGTCATTGTCAAATGTGAACGGATTTTTAGTTCTCGTTACGTACTTTGTGCCGCTGCTGTTCAAGTTTCCATACAAAAATTGACATTGACATAACAATGTCATTGTCAAATGTGTACTGATTTTTAGTTCTCGTTACGTACTTTGTGCCGCTGCTGTTCAAGTTTCCATACAAATTTTGACATTGACATTTCAGTTTGCAAACTATTCGAATTCGATAATAGTTCGTGCTAGGGGTACAGTACATAAGTATGAGAGATGACGAAGCGATCGTGAAACCTATAGATTGTATAGGTATTGGACCCAAGTCTGACGTGCTTTTCCAAACTTAAAACTAAATTTAACATTAGTCTCTTTTAATTCTGCATAGAGAATGATAAGATACACTGTTGTCAATTTTAGTTTAGGTTTAGAGAATCACGTTTTCCCTTTTGAACTGACGAGAATACTGTACCTATATATCTATATGACGACCTGCGGTATTTTGAGGTGTCGACCACACAGAAGTTCTGAGTTCGAATCCCAACGTGGCTAATGTTTGTATGATCAATAGCATTTGTACCAAATTTTGGCACCACACTTGGCTATTCATATATCATAACGTCAGTCTCTCCCTTTCATTCCTTATAAGTTAAGGACAGTCTGTCCTCAAGTTTACCAATAGCAAATCCTAATGAGGAGCTCGATGGCGCAGGTGGTTAGCGCGTTCGGCTGCGATCGTTGTAGTTAAGCAACTTTCGCAGTGGTCGGTCATTGGATGGGTGACCGAAAATTTCCACCTCGAGTTCCTCCGTGCTTCGGAAGGCACGTTAAGCCGTTGGTCCCGGTTGCATCTGCAGTCGTTAGCACCCGCCAATCCGCACTGGGCCCGCGTGGTGGGTCATGGTCCAATCTCCCTATTCCATCCATAGGGAAGGCTTGTGCCCCAGCAGTGGTGACATTAAGAGGCTGATGATGACGATGATGATGAAATCCTAATAGTTAAGTGAAATTCCGGCATAAGTCATGGCTGTTTTTGTATATTTCTTGATAAATATACCCAATAAGTATGTGTATTTTATCCATTTTTCTCGTATCCCATAACACAAGCCTTAGGCTCTAGACTGACGGACTGCATTTGAATGGTAATTGTATTGGAATTCAAAATTGCAGCTCAAATGAGTTTGAATGCTGTTGTGCAGTTGCAGTAGTGCACTGCAACTGCACAAGGCAGAATGCAAAATGCCAACCACTCGTTCTGACAACTGCACACTGACTGCAATTAGACACCACCAGTAGTTCGCAGTTTTGCAAACTGCACTTGAGCTGCAATTTGGCAGTAAGAATGCTGTTCAAATGTAGCGTCAATTTAGCAGCCGCCTAACACTGTTTACTTTGGGGTAAGGCTAATAGGGGTGATGACGGGGTAAAGTAAACGAAATTCTATTTAGGCCGACAATTGAAATATTATTTAAAAAATAGACAATATTTTTTTCTTCTGTCAATCAACCAAAAAATACAAAGATATATAAAAATAGAAAAATAAGCACGTCTAAGTTTGGGAGGGGGACGTCAGTTTTAAGTAAAAACTGTACTAACACGACGTCTCTCTTTCTCTCTCTCTCTCTCTCTCTCTCTCTCTCTCTGTCTGTCTGTCTGCTCTCTGTGTGTGTAATGTTTTGATTATTTGAAAAAAGAAAATAACGTGTCCAATAGTTTTTGATAATATATCTGATAGACGAAGAAAAAAAAGTTAGTCATCATTCCTATTGGTGTGTCTTGGATCAACAATAGGTACTATAGATAACGGGTCAGCGCCTAAAATCCGTCTCGGTAAATATAGCCTCACTTGAGGCGTGAGATCTTCTCAATTAGTTCGGTTAATGCACAGCCAATGGGTCGGTCGGTAACAGGTCGTATGTACGAAATAACATTTCGTTATTTGTAACTTTGTTCCTTGTTACATGGTTGTTATTAGGTTATTAGGCAACTTAAACTGTTTTACAGTAGCTACATAATTATATACTCACGCGGACAGTTTTTAGCTTTGATTTGGTATGCAACGCGTTATCTATAGAATTGTTGATCAAAGGTGCGAGTGTTGGAATTACTATCGGCCTAGCTAGAATTTTAAATTTTGACGGTCCCTAGTTTAAAAATTAATGTTACATCGAGCAAAAAACTTTTACACAGCTTTGAAGCTGATATATTAATCTTTTTTTTCGTGTTTAAAAAATATATTACTATTGCACATATTTTTGCTACAGACCGTTGAAACTTGTAACACTAAGTGGGTTGATAGATGTGACCGGAAGTATATTTTTTTATTTGTTTATATTTATAGATACGCAGCCCAGTTACTAACGCCGGCGATGTTGACCGCGCGCGCGGACGGCGCGGCCCGCATCACGCCCGCGCACGTGCACGCGGTCAGCACACTCTTCTTAGACGCCAAGTCTTCCGCGCGCATCCTAACGCAGAACTCCGACAAATATATGAAGTAGGCGCGTAACCTCACACTAATGTCAACCCCACCTGCTGATAGGAAGATTACTGCTCGGCTAAGACTTCGTCAAATTTGAAAAAATAACCATTTGTCAAAAATTTATAGATATAGGGCGTGCGCTGCGTTAAGCGCGAACACGGAGCGGACGTCCGCTACGCGTGCAGTAGTTAGCGTGAGGCAGGTATCCCTACGCTCCGTGCTCCCGCTTAACTCAGCACAGCGTCTTTCTATGTATTTAAAGTTGCATTAACTGTACTCAAATTTACTATCAATGAAACAACGCGACCTTGGCGATGAGCACACGCAACACTGACAAATATATGAAGTACTCTCACACTAAATGTTATATGTACTTATGTTTATAGATACGCAGCCCAGTTACTTACGTCGGGAATGTTGACCGCGCACGCGTCTTACGCGTATCCTAAGCGTCAGCTCACACCGAGACGCGACGCGACGCGACGATGCGCGCACTTTTTAATAGAGCGACTCAAAAGAAACTTTATTAACTACACGAAAAGATACACATTTCATTGTGAGAATTCAGAATACGTTGCACCACGCAGCTCTGCGCCTCGAGATGCCTCGCGGCGTAGCGCGACGTATCGCGACGCAGCGGTGCATCGCCGTATGCGCAGCCTCCGAGTGTCGTCGCGTCGCGTCTCGGTGTGAACTGACCCTATCGCAAAACTCTGACAAATACATATAGTAGAAGCGACTCTTTTATGTAGGCAGATTTCTGCTCGGCTAAGACTAGGCCGCATTGTTTCATAGACAGTCAAATTTTACTGATGTATTCAATACTCTATTGTATTTCTCCGTTTGTAAGAGGAAATGTCCTTGTTTCGTTTTATTTCAACTTCAGAGGAGACTTTAATTTCATGTTGGTATAATTCTACCATGATAATTTGCAATTTGTGAACAAATCTAAGCACCAGTGTATAATAAATAAGTTTTATTTTATAAGAAAAGGTTTTTGTTTTCTTACACCTAATATAATACCTAAATATTTACAATCTTTTAATCTTAGAAAAAAATAACAAAATAGGCATTTTTTAATTTTTAACAAAGTTTTTCATTGGGCTAATTTTTCACAACACTCATTCATTATCATGAAAACAAAATTACTAATCTTCTTTTAACTGTACAATAATACTAGGTAATAGCCTCTTTTCATTTATTTTGATACCTAATGAAACAATCCTTGTTCTCATTTAGAATTTACTTTCGACTTAGGAAACATTACTGGTATATATCTAGCGTCCGATTCCGGCGACGACGTAGAGCTAGGCGACAAAGTAGACGTAGGCGGAGTGAATGTAGGCAAGTCGACTCTCAGCGCCGCGGGCGCCGCAGTGTGCCGATACAACGCTTCGAATTGAAGCTCTTCTGGGTATGAATGCGAGCGAATCTTGCGTTCGTCTCTCGCGTTACTAGGATACACGATCACGATTTTCTCGCTGGCACTTTGGAGCGCCACGGGCGGTAACGCCGTGGTCGTAGACGCGGCCGGCCCCGATACCACTTGCAACATCTCTGTAGGAGCCGCGCGGAGCTTCTCCGTAGTAGTCGTCGTCGTCGCCTCCGTGGTAGTTGTCGTCGATATCACGACAGGAATATCAGGCTCCTCTGGCGTTTCCACCTCCCTGCGTTCTCCCGGGGGACCGACCGATCTAAGAGTTTCGATCTTCATCTCCAGAGTAGGAGTAGGCATAAGCACCGAACCGTTCACGTTCATATCCTCCGTAGGAATGTACCTAGCTGTAGGCTTCGCGACTTCTCGCGAACCGAAAATTGGTAGACGAGGAGCGTAAGCCGAAACTAAAGGCAGCAATGTGTCCCTTGCGTACCTTTCGGCTCTTGAAATGAAGGAAGCTAAACGGGAAGGCAGGAATTGGACGGCGAAGCTGGATTCGTCCTTTTCTGCACGGTCACCCCAAGCCATGGCGTCGTAGGTCGGAGTCGTCGGGGCTTCGTAGTTCTTGGCTTTGCGGGCGGGTGGTAGAGTTGAGCGCGGGGGTTGTGTTGCTCGGAGGATTGGTTCGGAAATCTCGTGGTCTTCGCCATCGGTCCGTTGGCGTGGGGTCTTACGGAGCCGCGGTCTCAGTACAGGCTCGGCTATCTCCACGAGGCCGCTGGGAGCAGTCTTTACATTCGTCATGCCGAACGCCCGCCCGGTGTCGTCGCCGGTCCACTCAGAGTTGTCCACGAGGGCGAAAGGTCGTTGCGGTGCATCCTCCGGCAACTCGTTGTCTACAGGGTCCACCAGTGCTACCTTCGTAGTGTTGGGTTTGGTCGAGTAATCGAGTTCGCCTTTCGATCCGTTCATTGGGCTATCATCCTAAAGGAAAGAAAAAAATATTCGTTAATGTGCGAACAAAAAAAGGCATAACTATGAGTTATGCCTTTTTTTGTTCAGAGAAAAATCATTACCTGTTGTATAATACAGTCTCCTGGATAAAGAGGCAATTCGACAGATTCCTCCGATTGCAACTGTAATCCCTTTTTACAGAATGATGACCTATAAAAGAAATAACATGTAGCTTTAAGAAATAAGATGGACGTCATGTTCAAAATATGTATAATGCTAGGCACTTCTACACTGTACACTGTTCATAGCGAAGCGAATTGTTATGATAACAAGATAGTGAAGCTCTTTCTTTATCACACAATCTCACAAAAATAAGGATGAATGCTTAATTTCTGATCAATGCTTTGAAAATGTCAATTTGATTGCAAAATATTATTGTACCTACGTAGAGTAGATGCGTTGGATAGGAGAATGGCTTACATAATAGGGGTAATGACGGGGTACAGTAAACGAAATTCTATTTAGTCCGTCAGTTAGATGATCAAAAAATAATGGACACATATTTTTTCTTTGGGCAATCAACCAAAAAATGACAAAGTTATAGCGCGTCAAAGTTCGGGAGTAGGGGCTCGTGACGTCACTTTTTACTGAATTTTCACTTAAAAGTGTGTACTCAAACGTGACATCATGCGACTTTTCAAATCGATATATCTCTGCAATGTTTATATGTTTATGTGAAAAAAGAAAAAAAAAATGGGTGCGTGTACTTATGTAGGCGCGTGAGAAGTTATCCTTCTTTGGCATCGTTTAAAATTAGTTTTTAATTGCATGCAAATAATTAATTACAATAAATTAATAATAAATTTCATTTCATTTCATTTCATTTCAATGTCCCGTTCAAATCTGCCCTGTTTGCTTTGTTCAAATCTGTCCCACGGTCACTTGGAAAATAAAATATTACAAATAACGCGCCCGTGGCTAACTTCATTATGTTAAAATTTTGTGTTACAGTGATGAAAATTTCACTCTCATAATTTTTTCATAACGCGGCTAAAGAAGTATAACTTCAAAAATACGTGTCCAATACTTTTTGATCTACCTGATAAACGAAGAAAAAAAAAATAGTCATCATCCCAATTAGAGTGGCGCGCGGCGGCGGTCAGCTCGCCTACGTACGCGGTGTAGTACACACTCGTGTAGATGTCGCACGCTTAAATCCATCTATATTATTCTATTCACATAGTTTCATAAATATCGCTGTCATTAACACATTTCTTTACAATTAGACACATATCTAGTAAACAAAATAATTATAAACACCTCAATATTGTACGTTATTCAACGTTTAAGCGTGCGATGTGTCTACTGAAGGGGGGTACTTACGTCTTGGCGAAGCTGTCGGCTATAAGGAGCTTGTCCAGGTGCAACGCGCGCGCGGCGGCGGTTAGCCAGCCCGCGTACGCGGTGTAGGTGAGGGACGCACGCAGTGGCACACCCAGCGCCGGGTGCGGCACCACCACGCGTGAGAACCGCGCCACGCGGCCGGACGCGTTCTCACGCCTGGATACAAGCGATCGTTATTTAATGCCAAACTTCGAGAGGAAAACAATCTTACTCCTAATCAACTCCTAAACGTGATAGGGTATTGCATTGCTCGTGAACGTGAGCTCGTGAGCCGTCCCAATAAGGTACCCTTACCGTCATAACCAGCATGGAGGACTAATCTCGGTGTTAGTGGGTAGGCCACCCAGAACAGTTACTGAGCCAACCTCTGGACGTGGTTAAAGAAGGAATCCTACATAACGCTATCAGTTATGCATCACGCATTTCACCGGGTCAAAAATGGCATACAACACACTAAACTTACGGCAAGCCGTAATGTGGTGCACGCATAGCTGCAGCTGCTCGTATGATTAGTTTTTTGGTTTCTCGGGGATTAAACAAAATATCATCATCGTTAGCCTATTAAGGTCCACTGAGGCACAAGGCTTACCTATGGATGAACCTAGTGCGGGTTGGTCGCTAACTAACGACTGCAGATGCAGCCAGAACCAATGGAACCGAACCGATTACGAGCTAACCATTTGCGCCATAATTCGTGCTCGTGTTAAAACTTAGTTTAATAAAAGTTAGTAGCTATTCAAATGGCATACTTGGTCATCGGGAAGGACTCGTTGAGCCCCGTGTCCCCGTGCAGCGTGAGTGTCAGGCGCCCGAAGTTGGGCTTCTCGCCGGGCTCGATGCGCGCCCATACAGACACGTGGTACTGATGTGCTGAAACGAAGACAAATCTAGGTATTATTGGTATGTATTGTCAATTGATTATATTTATGAGGGAACAGGAAAGGACTGCAAAGAGACGATAGTTATGGAAATGTACGATCAAATATAATTAAAAAATAAAATAAAGGACAAAGCGTACTGATGGCAGACGTATCAAACAATTAAATTTTTTTACATAACACAAGAATACCGCGAGCTATTAACTTTCGAGTACAGATAGTAAAATCCTGTCAACGGACGTACAGGGCATGTTCGGACTATTGACTATTGCAGGCTATGGGCAAGTAGGCCTATTACTATCTTTCCGGATAAGATTTTAGACCCAATCTATGCCAAATATGGCGGCTATTAATGGGCTGTGGTGTAATCTGTATCTTCAAGTATTTCTTACCCGCAATGCTGAACCTATCCCGGAAGAGCGAATGGAATAAAGGTATATAAAAATACTAGTATATAACCGCGACATCGTCTGCGTGGAAATATTGATTCCCTATACAAACTTTAAACACCCATTTCAGGTCTCCCACACAAAACTGCGAAACGATTTGAGGTCGCATCGCAGCAATCCGCTTCGCAACGATTTGCGATGCGGATTGCTGCGATGCGAATTCGTGCGGCAAAGATTTGGTTAGGATGACCATATCTTCAACGGTAGTCAGCCGTATTGGACGTGTTTTAGGTCCGTATTACAGAATGACAACTAAATGTTGATCTTTACTTGAGTATAGTTAGAAAGGGATATCGCTAAGTGCTTTATATAGCGACATCCCTTTCTAACTATGCTCAAGACTAGATCAATCAATCACTGAGATTCTTTCTATAATACGGGCCTTAGTGACATGGATCGCAAAAAGATTTCTGCTCTGCTGTTATTTTTAAATAGTATAGAAGAAAAAGAAGATTTTGGTTTCATCCATTAATTAAGATTATGAACGCTGATGCAAACTATTTTATTCGTAAATATTATGTTTGAGAACTGCGGAAGATTTTTTTTTATTATTTTAAAATGAGCATATCCTCATTTGAAGAACTTATAAGAATGACCTTGAATGAATTATGATATAAAAATGACCGTACAAGGGAAGTCTCAGAGCGGACTAAAATGGTCACCAAGTGTGACATAATATCTTAGTAATGTGCGAGGCGAATCAAATCGGAAGCATTCGTGCGAGCTGCAGATATTTGCGAACCGATGCGAATCCGCAGTTATGTATGGGAGCACTTACTCCATTAGCGGGTGAGTTTTGGAAAATCATTTCTTAGCGCACGCCTATGTCATAATTACTTTATATGTGCCGCATAATCCGTTTAGTGATTTTAACTGTGCGTTGATAGATTAGTCAATAACGGTTCCTTTTATATACTTATGTCCTACATAGACCGCAGTAAAGAAGATGTTCGGCTGCAGTCTACTGCAAGGGGTATTTCTTCTAACAAAGTAAAAATAGCGGTTAGACTCGTTTAGTTACCACAAAAAGGCTCCTCTTCCCTTGTGAGCAGATAGAGTTGCCCTCGTCCTAACGACCGGTCAGCGTAGTATCCCATGTTGCCGCATCGCCGTTGCCCATCGCACGGGAAACACCGACCCTGGATAAGGGGACAAACATTTTATCGTTATTGAATAAAAAAGGAAAATAAAAACTCATGAAAACCTTTTTGGAAGTAGGACAGGAACAACACCGTAGTACCTACCGGTTGTGTAATTTTATACAGAGATGTGTAGTGTGATAGTGGAGTTCAATAAAATTGTTTCCCACTGTAGTAAAATTTAATTTTAGTGTATTGATATCGCAAAGACCTTCAATTTTGATTGAAATTTAAAACTATATTTATGTTTCCTTAGTTCGTCTGCAAGTATAGGAAAGTCATACGAATGGTAGGTGGAAGTTTTCTTCTTTATTAATTAATTACAGGTGTAATGTGTAAGAATAACTGTTGTACTAATATTATTAATGTGAAAGTTTGTAAGTTTGCGTGTTTGTTACACAATCACGCACGCAAAAACGGCTGAACGGATTTGGATAAAAATTGACACAAATATAGTTTATGAGCTGGATTATACTGCATACATACATAGGATACTTTTTATCCCGGAAAAAAGTAAGGTTTCTGTGGATTACAGAAAAAAATAAATGAAATGAAATATTTATTCAAAGCATATAAAGGATACAATGACAATTATTGTGATTGATAATAACTGCATTAGTTATTAAATGTGTCAAGGCTATTAACGCCCATCTCCAGAAAACAATTTATGCTACAATAATTTTAATCTTAATCCTAATTTTACATTAAAATAGAAATGAAATGCGTGTTTGTGTCAGATTTGTGTGTGTTGTGTATGAGTTCGGTGTGTTCATGTAGCATGACCTGGATTGAGACATAGGATACTTTTTATCCCGGAAATAAGTTCTGTTTCTGTGGAATTCTCAAAAAAGTAAAGATAACGCGGACGAAGTCGCGGGCGGCTGCTAGTAGACAGTGTGACCAGAATAGATTTAACGAAAAAACCGAAGCATCTCAAAAATATACTGACTTATACTAACTTGTAAAGGAAAAATAGGTATCTATATGTTCCTGTGCAAGTTGGTGTATTACAGTATTTTGTTGAAAAAGAAGTCGATAACATATATCGAAAAAGTATCAAAATATTGAATCTGGTCACACTACTAGTAGTATATTCATACCTCAAGGAAGGTGTCGTAGTCGGCGCACGGGAAGGCGGGGAAGTGGCACTTGGGCGACACCGAGTCGGTGAAGAACTTGTACGCGCGTCGGTGGTTGCACAGCGAGCGGCCTTCAGGCGACGGCGCCGACCACGGCAATACCAGGTCTGATACCGCACCCACGAACCTGACGCATGGATACAAACGTTTATAGCGCTACAGTTATACTGTCTGCTGTAAGAGAAAGAGAGCACAACGAGTGGCTCTCCGGTGATACCAGGTCAGATACCGCGCCCATGAATCTGACGAATGGACCGGGGACAGTTGAGAAGCTGGCGAACAAAACGATACGGTATAAATCTGAATGACATACCTCCAGTGACCTTTTGGCATGGTTTTTAATTTATAAATTAGGTAATTTTAACACTGTTTTAGCCGGTTTTGATTGAAAATTATTTGAGATTCAAATTCAACGGGCCCGAAACCTCCGGACTGTAAAAAAAAAATGGGTGCGTGTACTTATGTAGGCGCGTGAGAAGTTATCCTTCTTTGGCATCGTTTATAATTAGTTTTTAATTGCATGCAAATAATTAATTACAATAAATTAATAAAAAGTCTGGAAAAGGACACAGTCAATAAAGTTCAGTTTTAATTTGAAAAAATAAATAAATAATCAAAATATTCAATTAAAATCGCTACTGAATATAATTTATTAGAACATATGTGATTTGCACTTGTATGAAACTCAAACACGTATTCCGAATATACAAACTAGAAACATGTGGATAAATATTATAAATATGAATACTTATAACTGTTACTTTATTACAAAAAATAAAGATGTGGTTTTTGGTTCTACTACACCAATGGTCAAGAGATGGCGCTGTAGTCTCCTGAATCGCGCTTTGGTTCCGTTGTTCCAGATTAATAAATACTTTTTGTTACTTTATTACAAAAATTAAAGATGTGGTTTTTTGTTCTACTACACCAATGGTCAAGAGATGGCGCTGTAGTCTCCTGAATCGCGCTTTGGTTCCGTTGTTCCAGATTAATAAATACTTTTGATATGCCTTCACAATGCAGTCGTTAGCACCCACAAAATAGAGATTATATTTCTATTTTGTTGGTAGATTTTCTTAATGTGCGGTAAACACAAAAATAACAGCATGAAGTTGGTCGCTAAATGCTGTTAATTTTTTGTGTTACAGTGATGCGCGCGCATCTTAAAATTTCACTCTCATCATTTTTTCATAACGCGCCTAAAGAAGTATAACTTCAAAAAGTAGTTTGACCAGATGCGTAACTATACCGTTCGGTTCGTCAGCTCCTCAGTTATAAAGTCGCGAGGCGATTAAACAAATCTCAAAATTCTTCAACCATGGTGACTGCTTTCTACCTACTATCAGGAATTGAACCTGAGATTTCAGAAAGGCTACTATGAACATGGGCTTAACAGTGTTTTAAGCTTGTCCGTCGCAGCGGTATTCGTTTAAAGAAGCTAAGCAACGTTTGCGTAAGATCTTAAAATCTATGGGTGACCAAATAATATTGAGTTTTTCCGTGTTTCGGAAAAAACGTGTTGTTGGTTCCGGCTCCATCTGTAGTCATTACCATCAATGTATTTGCCCTGGACTCGCGTGGTGGATGCCTTTATAAGAATCTGATAAGAAGGCCCGTAGTTTAGGAGTGATCGGGGATATCCCGTTAAATATTGTCCTTGCCCCCCATTTACATAAGATCTTAATTTAGAAGAATAGGAATCTCAGTGATTAAAAGCCTGGTAATAATGTCATAGTTGCTTACAAATTGGAACAGCCATGCTGCACTCTTCCTCCGTTAGGATAGAAGTCGACGTGTCCCAGCGGCTGCGCGGCGCCCAGCCCGCCGAAGATGAGCGTCTCCCCGTTGGAGTGGATCACGTCCACGAACTTGGCGTCGCTGCGGTCGAGCCGCGCGCGCGGGTCTTGGAACTCGAAGAGGGGACCTGCTGGGTCGAGACCTGGACGAACACATAGGCAAATAAAAGCAAGTAACAATTTTGTCTACGATTCCAAATTGGAATTAGAATTAGACAGAAAAAAGGGTTTGTACAGAAGTTTTTTCAAATAATAGTATACATAAACTCCGTAGCAGTGATTTGTACGCCGGATTTCAAGGTGTATCCTACTTGAGAAGTCCCGGCTTAATCCTAGTGGAGGCATATGTTTGTGTGATGAATACGAGCTTTTGTACTCCAGTCATGGATGTTAAATATATATTTCTATATAAATATTTGTTATACTATACTACTCTATATGTATTCTATCCGTTACCCTAGTATCCCATATCACAAGCCTACAACTTTGGGACTACACTAATTGGTGGGTGTTGGAAATATTTGTATTTAGCATTATTTAAAAAATATATCAAGAAAGAAAAAGAAAAGATGCGAACTATTATGCTATTAATTATTATTTTTCTAGTAAAATGTGTAGATTTAAGCCCGTCACAGACGTAGCTATAATATATATTAATATGAATCATAGCAAGACATATTACAACATATTTTCAATATAAATTTTCGAGTGACCGCACACGCAGCTATAACATATATTTCTATGACGTCACCAAAATATGTCGACAGATATATTTTGGCATATTAGTGTATATTTTGCCATATTAATATATATTTTGCCATATTAATATATATATTGCCATATTAATATATATTTTGATATATTTTTATGATACGGGATGTTCCATTTTTCACCGAACGCCTGCCAAAATATATATTATAGTACAGCTCCCGTATGTGGTAGTTTGTTTAATATATTATCTCGATATATTAATATATATTATAGCTACGTTAGTGCAGTCATTGAAGCATTATTGCTCCGAATTTTTTTACTGTGAACCGAATTGCATACAATTTTGGAATTAGGTTCATCTTACCCTTAACTTCAAAAGTGAAAATGATTTGAACTCCGCAACCACCCTGGGGGTGGCTGCCACCCCTTCTCGGGGGTGAATTTTTTTTTCAAAATAACCTCGGATATCGATAGAAAGCCTAATTTTAAGCAAAAAATCATCTATAAAGTTTTTTAAAAAATCCAATACTTTTCAAGTTACTGGCAATTGAAAATTCAATTTTTTTCCCGTTTTTCATCGGTTGTTTGCAAATATCTCCAAAAATATAAGTTTTATCGAAAATTTTATAAAGCACAAAATTGTAGCAGATAAAACAATGAACAATTTGGTTTTTTATAAAGTATTCTAAGTGCAATATTAAGCTACATATTAAAGATCAAAGCCGTTTTTTATTTTGTCTGAAATTTAATCGATGTGGTCAATGCCATCTAGCGGCGAGCAGATGCATTTCATGCATTCTAATACAAAAGGTTTTTGTAGTGCTTGAAATAAGCTTTAAAATGAGCACTATTAAAAGTCTTTTGCATGTAAAATAAGTGAGCTGTATTGCAAATAAGGGAAGCATCTAATGTTTTTTCTTTTAAATCAATGGGTTTCATAAGTGCCATTTCCACCAAAATTAAAATTAATCGTATTCCGCCTAGAATTAACTTTATTATGAAAAGTTTGATAGATAGTATCAGTTTGGCTGCTTCAGGACACATATTTTTCAAAAAAGTCACGATTAAAAGAAAAACCAAAATTTCAAATTTTTAAAAATCTCACTTTTATTTCATAATATCTCAAAAATGACGACAGATACGTATAAAAGTGTACGATTTAAAAATTTAGGTATTTTTCTGATAAACAATTTGGTTTTTTTGTTTTTTCTGTCAAAATAAAATTGACGGAGATATGATTGTTTAAAGAGCGCGTGGCAGCGCAATCACAGCCTCTCTTAAGCCCTTTAACCCTTCACCGATTTAGAAATAGGTTTTTTTATATATATTGCAATAAAAGATGTTGTAGCTCTCTTAATTACCTTTACAATGGTTCTTCATAAATTGTGATAGCATGAAAATTGAAGGAGTTATGGTCCAAAAACTTATCATATTTTTTTTCTACTTAGTAACTGAAAATTTCGGAGTGTGAATATTTGGAGCAATGTGAAAGTACGCAGTATAATAGAGACCCACAACTATTGTAATGTGTATATATATATACATAATATGGCTCATATATTTTGGAAACGTAGGCATGAATACATACCAACGTTCTTATATGTATATATAACACATTTCATCATCATCATCATTCATCCAACGGATTGGGGGTGGGTCATGAATGACGGTTTATTAAATCCACTTAAGTCTGTAGATCCACCCGCACCACAATGCTGCTGAAAATGATTTTTTGCAACTGCAAAAAAGGATGTGGAGCGTCTTGCGGATGCAGAAAAGTTGGTCTGTTTTGTAATAGTACCTGTGGAACGTGCATTGGAGATAATTGCCAAAATAGCCCTCCAATTCAGAGAGAAGATGTTGAATGTGACAGAGACTCCGACATTGAGTCATGAATAATAGTATTATATTTTAATAATAATAGTACAATTTTATATAATTAGTAAATATTTTATTCAATAAATGGCCATTTTTTACTCTAAATTAAATTATTTCTAAATATGTAATCATATATATTTACTGTTTTAATTTAGAGGTAGTTTTAAGGGTAGAAAAGCTTAAGAATATGATAATCATTTTCGAGAGTGTGGAATAATATTTAAATCCTTTACATTTTATAAAAAAAAAATTAACAATTTTTTATCAAGGGGTAGTTTTCAAGGGTTGAAAGGGGGTTAAAAATTAGATAATTATTATAGAGAATATAAAATATTACTTCTATACTTACATCTTTTTATGTCATACCAAAGTATCTTTTTGTGATTTTTTCAATTTAGGTGTTGTTTGCAAGGGTTGAAAGATTTTCAAGGGGTTGAAAATGATTTTAATATGAGGTAATTATGTTAGAAAATATTTTACAATTTCATCACTTACTATTAGACATGTTTTCTAGCGATAAAATGGCTCAATGTCAATTTTTCCATTAAGGGGTTGTTTACACCCCTTAAAAATAATGGGCGGAGTTCAGATCATTTCCACTTTTAAAGTTAAGGGTAAGATGAGCCTAATTCCAAAATTTCATGCAAATCGTTTCACAGTAAAAAAAAATCGGAGGTAAGACCATATTTTTCGCTTCAATGAATGCACTACGTCTGTGACGGGATAAATTTAAGCATATTAGTATATATTTTTAATACGGAATGTTCAACTTTTTACTTAACGCCTGCCCGATCTCCGGCTCAAGTGTGCACGAGCATTTCTCCCCAACCCTCCCTCTCCTAAAATACTGTGCAAATTTATTGGATGACAAATCACGATACAAATTAAAGTCGCCACAAGTTTTCTTTTGTTTTATATGCGACTCTACCCAGATGGTTCTATTTTTCGTTCCTGACAAGGCAACATGCATATCAAATTCAGCATCGGAATCATCCTCTGAGGAACTTTTAATTAAATCTAAAAGTAGTGCTCTTGTCGAATTCATTTCGGTAAGATTGATTATAACGTTATTTCAAAATTAAAACACCCTGTGCTAGAAAATAAGCTTTAAAACCGTGCGCTCGCAAAAACGACCGCAGACCGAGTGAGGGCAAAATATATATTATAGTATAGCTCCCGTCTGTGGTAGTTTGCTATAATATAATATATATTTCGATATATTAATATATATTATAGCTACGTCTGTGACGGGCTTTAAACAGCAGTTAAATGAAACAAGTTTCAACGGGTTAGATGCACTGATTTTATTTATTTATTGACGTTTCGCAGCCTTTTCAGGAATGGGTCGTCAGAATAATGTTTTTTTTTTTTCGTCAAAATAATGAAAAAAAAAAACATTATTCTGACGACCCATTCCTGGAAAGGCTGCGCAACGTCAATAAGTAAATAAAATCAGTGCATCTAACCCGTTGAAACTTGTTTTATTTAATGTGTGATGTGCCTGAAAACCTAAGAAATACATAACTACGTAGGGGTTGGTTTTCCGGTATTCTAAATACTGATTATATTGCGTTCAATAGGAATATTATTTAGGCTTCGCTCTGTTAAGCTTACTTCCAACTAATCTGAATAAGCTATTTCAAAAGTAAAAATGTGGTTTTAGTTTTAAGTCATCAAAGTTTACTACTCTCGTACCTGTTATTCTGCTTATATTTCTCAATTCTGAACCCGCAAATCCTGCTACATGCGCACCCAAGCTGAATCCAATAAGATGTACATCTTCAAATCTTAAATCTATGTGTTCTGCCAGTCCTGTAATTTGTCATACATTAGCCAAGTTGTTAACCAAAACATAAATAGCAAAATCAATTGAAGTATATTGTCCATCGAGCCGGATTACCTTGTAACAGCATTGCCAGCTGCTTCCCGACTAGTCTCGTATTAGCGGCAGCGCGAAGATAATTTGGCATGGTCGCACCTCCTTCCCAATCTACACACACGACGTTGCATTCCTCCTGAAAGTTTGTAAATTACCTTAGGTTCGGATTCAAAAATAAAATTCTCTAAAACTACCGGGTAGAGGTAGGTTTAAAATCTAAACCCCTGTTTAAATTTATGGCACCCTTGCCATAAATTTTGGATACTTAGGTCTCATATGGCGAGGAGGAGCATCACATAGTCCCGTGTTGCTGCACTTATTAGTTGGAGGGGCATGCTTCAAACATTTTCCAAACAAAAAAGAAGGTTTATTACTAATCCATAGTTAATTTATTTCTACGGAGATAAAGAAGAGAATTATAGCGACTTTTATCAATAAAATATAAAGTCGCGGCACCTAGCATGGCTTATTTGAGATTCGAACAAATGGAGCTTTTATAGGTAGTTCGGTTAAAATTTGTTCTACGAAGATCAAGTTGCGGGGATACCCGCTAACTTAAAGCAATAAACAATCACGTATCCTGACCACGGCCATCAGAGCGGAGCGCATCTCGTACACCCAGACGTTATCGCAGTTGGAGCCGAAGCCGTGAACGATGACGCGCGTGGGTCGCGCCGAGTCGAACGCGTGTGTCGCCCAGCCCCACGCGGCGGACATGTTGCTCGCAGACACTGCCAGTAGAGGCTGGTCACCTCTACAATATATATTCATTTATTATTTATAGGGATTAATTCAGGGTGCCAACAGGGGATTGGGTCAGGGTAGGTATGCACCAATGTGCGAGTGATAGTTTCGGTATCGCAAGCGTCTACGAGTTGTGGTGCTACTTACCATCAGTAAGTTTGTCATAATTTTAACATTAGAAACCTTATTTGATATTAGCTTTACTCTGCTACGCCTTTCTGCAGCTAAAATACAGCAGAAACCAAATAAAATTAGTAGGTTTCAATTTATTACCACTTTAATGTGATTAATAATCTTGATCTGGCCGGTTTTACTTGGTTATGAAACGTGCAGTCCATTCCTATGTCTATGTTACGTTTAAGTTAAAAGTTGTCATTAATGTGATTCAATTAACAAGAAAAGGGATTTTTCCTATCGAGAATTTGTACCGAGACGACTCAGTGAGAAAGCTCTCATTTTATTACACGTACTTAGCAAAAAATCTGAACGGATTCGGTACATAAACGAAAACGAAACAAGCACACGCCGATCCTTCGAGGAAGACGGCTTTGGAGGGCAGCCGTCCAGTTGACCTTAAATTCATTCTGAAATAATTTTATCATTTTCCAGCACTGGAATTTTAGGATGGGCAGAGATGGCGTTGCTTCCCCCTAGCTGCGTTCATGTAACTGTGCTGGTAACAGGAGGATAGACAATGAAATAGAATGGACATTAATAATCGGGTGAACTGGACAAATCCGATTACCTACCTGCTGACCGTGGAGTACATGAGGAAGTGAGTGCCGACTTCTTGCGGCGAGCTTGGCAGCGTCTCCAAGTAAGCAAAGGGGCCGGCGTCCTCGAAGCATCCGAACTCGCCATAGCAGACGCTGCCCTGAGATCTTTTACTCCTGTGAAAAGGTTGTACTTTTGAGTGACAATATTTATACATAGTATAGACCGCGAGGCCTAAGCTTAGCTTTGAATTTGTGTGAGTGATCACCAAAAGTAGAGTCACACAAAAACCTTTTAAAAATAAAATTATGTTTTAGGTAGATAGCATGTCACCTGGCGGGTGCGTGGCCATTCGGAGACGGGTTCCGCGACTACACCCGCCCTCTCGGCACGCACTAGGGGGACCGCGGTCCTCATAGTGCGTGTCGGGTGACGGTGCAGGAGTATTGTCTGGTTTTTAGTGGCCCTGTTCAGGGCGTAAGTAGGGCCCTGTTCACATCAGCGAGCTCCAGGGCTGGCTGAAGAGGACAGGGAGGAGTCCCACATACCTTCTTCTCGCTCCCCCAGTGGTTGAGGGATGCGTAAGGCATTTTCCAGACACAAAAAAACAAAAGGGTAGATTAGCATGTGGAAGAGGTATTCTTGTTTGAAAAAATAAAACTAAATAAGTAAAAATTGTTAATATAAAAGCTAGACAACATCACGCTGCTACCAGTACAAGAGATGGAAGTGTGGAAGGTGCACGATGTCACACCTACGAGTATTCATGTACACTCACTCACACAAATACAAAGCTCAGCTTACGCCTCGCGGGCGAACTGTACCTGACTCGTCAGAGTAGTCCATGAACTTTAATTCTCTCACTTTCTTTGAGATAACAATATAGTAGGAGGTACTTAATAATAAGGCTTTGCTTTGATAAGTTTACGTTGCTGAATAATGGTATGATTTGCTTAGATCCCTACCACATTTGTTTTTTAATAAACATGATAAATTCACTTCGATCAAGCTAGACCTGCCTTGTTATACGTGCTCGCCCAGAAAAAAAATCTTAAATGGTGTAATGGTATGGTATGGAGATTTATTCATACCAACAAAGAATATGCTAATAAATCAATTAATGCTTAACTGTGTAATCGAAACGTACAACCCATTTATAAATCTTCGGGGATTTTAAATCATGATTCGTCGGCGCTCGAGAGTCGAGACACAAATCTTACTTAAAATGCAAAATTATTTATTCACTCTAGGCTGTTACGAGCTCTTGTGAACGTCAACTTTATGCCATGGGTTCGTAAATCTACGGCAGGAGACCTTGTACTGCGAAAAGCCGACAAGATACTCAGCAAGGGCATTTTTTTCTCTCCCTGTTTTATTTCTGAAGGTACTTTTAACTACCAATTCACTAACATTTTAAACACCGCTAGCTATGCAAAAAATTAAAAATAATAGATAAGTTTCATGTTTAAAACTCGCTCAGGTATTAATTATTTTAATTGCAAGTATATGCAAAGCTCAGCTTACGCCTCGCGGACGGACTGTACCTGGACTCGCCAGAGTACTCCATGAACTTTAATGCTCTCACTTTCTTTGAGATAACAATATAGGAGGTACTTAATAATAAGGCTTTGCTTTGATAAGTTTACATTGCTGAATGCTGGTATGATTTTCTTGGATTCTTACCATATTTGTTTTTTAATAAACATGATAAATTCGCTTCGATCAAGCTAGATCTGCCTTGTTATACGTGCTCGTCCAGAAAAAAAATCTTAAATGGTTTAATGGTATTGTATGGAGATTTAATCATACCAACAGAGAATATGCTAATAATTTAATTAATGCTTAACTGTGTAATCGAAATGTACAGCAAATTTATAAATCTTGCGGGATTTTAAATCGTAAGTCGTCGGCGCTAGAGTCGAGACACAAATCTTTCTTAAAATGCAAAATTATTTATTCACTCTAGGCTGTTATGAGCTCTTATGAACGTCAACTCTATGCCATCGGTTCGTTAATCTACGGCGAGAGACCTTGTACCGAGAAGAACCGGCAAGAGAAATTGCAAGGGCAATTTATTTTCACTAACATTTACATCACAGCCATCTATGCAAAATCTAAAAATAATAGATAAGTTTCATGTTAAGAATTCGCTTATGTATAAATTATTTTAATTGCTAGTATAGACTGTACAAAAATGATAAACCGTAATAAGTAATCGATAATATCATGAATAACTATTTATTTAAGGAACACAATGTTATCTACATTTATGTGAGCTAAAATTTCCAATTCTTGTTTACATTGACGGTAGGTATTTTAATTATTTTTGTTTTTTTTTGTACAATTACTTACACCATTAACTTTTAAGATTCGTTTATTTGTGTTCTTTTTAAAAGCATCGAAGGCATTATTTTATCTTTATAACACAGAATATACGCAATATTGCTATATTGAGTGCACATGCAGCGTGTTTGAATGTCCAATTGTGACTAAAACGAATTATGGTCATGCACCAAATAAACGGATCATCTTTTGAGTCTGTTTTTATTCAAATCTAAGAGAAAACCATATCTAGTTTAAACATTTGTTTAGTAAAAAATTAAAAGGTTACCACAATCTAAACAAAAAAACACTTATCAGTGAAACACGTGTATTTTGAAATAACAGGCTTAGATATTTTTTTAAGTTGGCAATTTATCCTACTATTAAAAGGTTACCAAAATTTAAACAAAAAAACACTTATCAGTGAAACACGTGTATTTTGAAATAACAGGCTTAGATATTTTTTTAAGTTGGCAATTTACCCTACTATTAAAAGGTTACCACAATTTAAACAAAAAACACACAGTGAAACACGTGTATTTTGGAATAACTGGCTTAGATATATTTTTTTAGTTGGCAATTTATCCTACTATTAAGTATAATTAAAATGGTAAGGTGTTACGAAATTGATTTTGTTCCATAGAAAGTTAATATGAAGTGAAATGGTGAAAGCAATATTTTTTTAGCTGCTAACTAACTGGCTTTTTAGCTGGTGGTGACTAAAAAGAGTGCTTGTGTGCTAGGTAGGAGGTAGTTGATACCGGTTCTAAAAAGCTTCAACCAATGAAACCACAAATAAAACCTCCCTTCTGTATTGTTACAAAACACTCACTAATTTTTAAGTCAATTGATTATTTTACTAATTTCATTTAGGTTCTACGGTTATGAAAAGTTTTAGCGATTTTTAAACACGTAAAGTCGCCAATACCTACATGTTGCTCGAGTTTAACGCACCGCGAGCTTAGGCAAACAAGGCAAGTACTACCGCCTAAGACGTAGGGCATGTTTGAAGAAAACCAATGCCACTTGCAGTGGTTTTCTTATTAGACGAGAGAATTCAATATAGAACCTTTGTGGAGTTGCTCATACGTTGGTGTGCTATAAGTTATTATGAAGAACGTAAGATAAATCTTGGCGAGCGACAGCGAATGCCGATAAGCAACGCCAAATGAGTATATACACGTTGGCGTTTCCCTTTACTCGGCAAATTAGGCTAGCGACACCGAGCGATGGCAAGGCAAGACAAATAATATGCTGTTTATACGTTAGTATTGGCCTTCGCTTTTTCAACAATTATAGGTGATTTAAGCATGCATATGCATGAGGACATCCATAGTACAGTGGTTGGCGTGTTTGGTCTGCAGTCGTGAAAATATAGTAACTTTGGTTATAGTCGGTCATAGGACGGCTGGCCAATTTTTTATAATCGTGAGCTATTATGTATGTACTATGTAACTCGTGACCCGCCTTAACTTGGAGTTTGTTCCCGAGACCATTGTTCGACACCAAATACTGTAGTTTATTTATTGCAGATTTCGGTTTATGGACTTCCTATATCATAAAATAACTAAATACATCTCAAAAAAGTGATCTAACTAATGGCAAGGTGAATGTTGAACAGCATTAGATACTGTTAGAACATCAGCGCTGATGCGACCATCGTCGCATCAGCTCATGCTGAGACAGGGTCCTGGTTAACCCTTATTATTATTGTTATTTTATATTTTTTTACGATTTATTGTGTATATGAAATTTGGGTAATAAAACCTTTTTCTTTTTTTCATAAAAATACTTTTAGTAATATCCAGTTTGAGATCACCTCGAAGAAACAAACGTCTTTGTTTTAAATTATGTTGTGATGAATTTATTTATATTTGGCTTTATACTTTGTGAGAAGGTACTTCAATATTGACCGGGATCTGTGAATCTTACATTTAAACTGAGTTTAAGTATACAAAATTTCAAACATTTCTTGCTTCAACTACAACCAGTCTTTCCTTAGTAACGTATTCTAGTTAAAGCTTTCTGAAAATGCATACGCTAGGCTCTAGCAAGCTTTAAAGCATTTACTCTAATAAATAACTGTTTTCCATTATAGCAGTTATAACCACAGACTCACAGACATACAGACAGACAGTTATTAGTAAAGGTCATTATAAATGAAGGACTTTAATTCGTAAATGAATTCATCGCCTGAAAATTATCAATCATAAAGTAAATTAAGTTTTCGCAAGTCCTCGAACTGTAATTAATGTTAGAGTTTTTCTCTCTAAGGTTTTCTTTATTTTCCTACCAAAAATTAAGAGTGGTTTAGCCGGTTAGGCTATTATTTTAGCATTGGTGAACAGTGAACGGTTCAGTATTCAGAAATGTAATTCCCTACAATGTAAAAATATATATATTTGGATTCTTTAACATATTTAAAAATTATAGTTCGGTACGTATAGATAACACGAGTGCTTTAAATAGCAGATAAGTTACACAATTGGCAATAGAAAAACGTGAACAATAGGAAATAGTCACGGTTGAATGGGGAAGTACCTAATCAACTTTCGTTTGCGAAGATTTCCTTAATCAACCGTAGATCGTAACATAATTCGTTTGTTACATAATTTGGGATCTGCTTAACTTAAATAATGACTGGACTGCCTGCCTACTAGTGCAATTTCATATTACATCATGTCATGCTCTTTATCAATTTAGTGTAAAATTAATAACAATTCTTTTATACACAGTCAGGTCATAAGTATTGTCACACAGTAAAAACTTTTCTTTTAGAATGCTGGCCACAAAAAAGTTTATTGAATTCGAATTTCGAATTGTTCATGAAAATAAAAATGTATACTTTTTAGAATTTTACTCATTTTTAAATATGGAATGGACGCTTAAAGAAGACCGTGTTGCAGTTATTGCGTTGCATCGTTGCGGTTACGCGCCAATTCAAATTTTTGACATACTGATAAATTTCAATATAACCGAAAGATTCGTTTATCGTACCATCAAACGATACAATGAAGACTTTACTGTAGATGACAGGCCAAGAAGTGGTCGCCCTCGGTCTGTTAGGACTCCAGCAGTGATAAAAGCTGTGAAGGCGCGAATTCAAAGAAATCCCAAACGTAAGCAAAAACTGTTGGCCCTTCAGATGGGGTTAAGCAGAACCCCGGTGAAAAGGGTGTTGGATGAAGACTTCGGACATATCGAAGAAAAAGAGGACATCGTTTGAACGGTCGTCTAATGGACCTGAGACTGAAGGGATGCCACGCTTTGTTGAGGCGGTACGCGGGAAAAAAATATCGGGTAAAAAATTTTTACCATAGAAGAGAGCTACACAACAAACAAAATGATAAGGTGTACGCACACAGTAGTGAAGAAGCGAGCAACCGTATTCTGCGTGTCCAAGGAGGTCATTTTCCATCCTCGCTCATGGTATGGTTGGGAGTTTCTTATTGGGGCTTAACAGAGGTACATTTTAGTGAGAAAGGTGTAAAAACCTTAGATTAAAACAAAAAGAGTAGATACGGTACGCTCATACTTGCATCAAACAAAAACTGATCCCACTTTACTACATATGCAACACTCACACATCCACCTCTTTGTAAAGATACAATCGAACGAACGAAACAGCAATTTAAGTTTCAACGGCAGCGCGAACGGGACGGTGAGATCCGCGTCACTGCATTACCGACTCGAACGAAACAGCACGTTAAGTTTCAACGGCAGCGCGAACGGGACGGTGAGATCCGCGTCACTGCATTACCGACCCGAACGAAACAGCACGTTAAGTTTCAACGGCAGCGCGAACGAGACGGCGAGATCCGCGTCACTACACTACCGACCAATCACGCGACCAGTACTCGACGTCACTACCGAATAAAGATTCAAAACAAACAGCAATTTTTATGAAATATATATTTTAAAGTACTTACGAATGAAAAGTGATGCCGTGGGTTTTATTTTTAGTTCTTGAGCAATTTGAGCACTTTTTAAAAACACACTTAGGCATTGTTTTATGATATAAACACAAAATATTAGCAATATTTCTTTTTGGCGTTCACATGTACGTCGTTTGCATGTCAAGTTGTGACTAAAGCGATTATGGTCTTGGGCCACAATTTATGCGGATCACTTTTGTGAGGCTAGTGCCGTATCTACCCTTTTTGTTTTAATCTAAGGTAAAAACGAATGCAGTTGTGTATCAAAATATAGTCCTGACGAACCTTGTGGAAGCTGTTTCTCATACCATGTTCAATAACAGGCACTGGGCATTCCAACTAGATTCGGCGCCAGCTCATAGAGCGAAGAGCACCCAAGACTGGCTGGCGGCGCGTGAAATCGACTTCATCCGGCACGAAGACTGGCCCTCCTCCAGTCCAGATTTGAGTCCGTTAGATTACAAGATATGGCAACACTTGGAGGAAAAGAAGTGCTCAAAGCCTCATCCCAATTTGGAGTCACTCAAGACATCCTTGATTAAGGCAGCCGCCGATATTGACATGGACCTCGTTCGTGCTGCGATAGATGACTGGCCGCGCAGATTGAAAGCCTGTATTCAAAATCACAGAGGTCATTTTGAATAAACTTTATTGTCATAAGAATCTATGTTTTGTTAAGTTCATTTTGGTATATAAATGGTTACATAATGCATAAACTTGTTTCAATTATTTTATAATAAACATGTGACAGAACTTATGACCTGACTAGGTATTAACCATTCACCAATCCGCCACTTATTGGCGTACGTATCCGCCTTATATCCTTACGCAGGGCCGGATTAAGAGGTGTGTAAGCTCTGGGGCAATGTAGAAGTAGGTGAAGGTCCTGGGGCAACGAAAGAGTGGAGGCTCCTATCTTAATTTACGATTTGCACCCCTTCCTTCCATCAATTACTGGCCAGAATCCTAAAAAGTTTATTTTAGAACAGGCAGTTTTGGTGACCCGTCCAAATTCAGTTTCTTTTTCCAAGCTTTTATTTAAATTGCACCGGTCGTATGTAATATCTAGCTTTAAAATTAGTTCACCATTTTTCCACTTTTCTTGTTATCCGATTCAGCTGAAATTTGGCATACCTATGTAAGTCTGGTGACAGTGCAATAATAATGGTACCAAGTAGCTGATCTGATCGGGTGGTGGGATGCATCGTTTGTGTCATTGTCATATATTTGTGGGAACAACATAATTAAAAAGAAGACTACTACATAAAGAAAACCACGTTCAGAGAAGGTGAAATGTATTAAATTAAAAATCATAAACACTAAAAAGTTAAAACTGATTTCAGTCTGATTTTAAATATACAATTTTACAAGCAAATTATATCCCATTTTTTTAATAAATGCGTGTTACATTTTTGTCAAGAGAAATTAAAAGGGTTTAACGCGCTTTTATTTAAAATTTTTAGTTCTTTTTAATAACAAGCAATTAAAGATTTTTTTTTAAATGTTTTTTTCATTTTTTATCTGCCTTTTGGACGCCCCAGCCGCCTGCTCTGCCTTAAATCCGGCCCTGTCGTTAAGTGACAGTTTTCACTGTCCATAGGGAAGTCCTGTCCCATCAGAAGAATAAATAAATAAATAAATATTTCCAACACTCACACCAATTAGTCTAACCCCAAAGTAAGCACTGTAAGGCTTGTGTTATGAGAAACATTTATACGCTGTTATAGTTGAGACTCGGACGTGGTTACCTTGTCCGTGCCCTCCTAAGTTCCCATTCTTGCATGGAGGCGCGGATAGCAGCCAACATCTCCGCATCGTGGCGCTCGTCCTCCGCCTCCTGGGTCGCCGTCGCAGGCCGCCCTGCGCCTCTCCATGGCTCTAATTCAGCATCTGCCAAATAAAATGACATCGATATCAAATACAGTATGCGCGTCACGTCAGCACATTTCCGTATTCCAATTTTGATTTCGCATAACATTATTCTGTTCAGTGTTGTTTCCTGTAGTGAGTAAGACCGCTAAGAGGACAGAAGTCATAAATAGATTTAGAAATATATATAAACAAACTAGCTGACTCGGCGAACTTCGTACCGCCCAAAAGTAATAATTTGCAATAAATTAAAATTGCGACTATAATTTGAGATTTAAACTATCCTATCTCTCAAGTTGGATCGAACTGCACATGGTGTGCGAATTTTATTATAATCGGTTCAGTGGTTTAGGAGTCCATTGAGGACAAACATTGTGACACGAGATTTATATATATTAAGATTATAAACTCCTTTGATTTTATTTTTGGCAAAAAGCACCTATAGGTACTTTAATAATAATTCCTAAATGAATATTAATATTCTGTTATAATAACGTATTGAAGAAGTTATTTAGATTCCTTCCACTCTTTTAAGCGGGTGTCGATTCTATTGTTATTGAAACATAGAATCCATATGGATTACAAAATCAAATGAGTAAGCAGATATAAGAGGTAGATACCTTATGAGGTCCAGGTTAAACTTTACGACGTAACAAAAACTACTTCTTTTAAATGAAAATTAATTATTACTCGCTGTGCCCCGCGGTGTTATCCGCAGTTTATTAGGGATATTTTTCTGCAGTAAAACGTAGCCTATGTGTTAATCCAGGGTGTCAGCAAACTCCATACCAAATTTATTTTAGCGATTTTATTAAAATCGCTAAAGCCGTTTAGACGTGAAGAAGTAACAAACATACACATTCACAAACTTTCACCTTTATAATATTAGTGTGATTACAAACAACGCTTAGCTTCTCAATAGAGCCTTTTAATTAAAAAACACACAAATACAAATTGTTTTTCTGAAGAGTTATTAAAATATGGTAGATGTTCAAAGGCTTGTATTATATACACAATGCCTTTTTTCATAATAAATAAACCTTCCATTCCAAGTAAAAAATTCGTTGCGTAGTTTAGGACCCGTTGTACCGAATGCAACATTGCTCTTTTCTCAACATTGATTTTTTTTGTATAGGACAGTGCATTGATCTAGGAAGACTATATATTACGAGGCTACGACCAGTAGCATCGGAGCACCGATGAAAAATGTTGCAAAAACGGGTAAAAATATTCCATTTGTGAGATTCCGTTGCATGTGCTGGGTAAACGGTTAAAGTTAAACAAAAATCATGTATGACGGAATTCTTCCCCTTAAGAGTTCTGTAAAAAAGTCCACGACAGCTTATGTCCGTATTTTAATTTTGACTCACTATAAACCTTTTTTTTTTCAAATGAACGCGGGTGAAACCGCACGGGACCTCTAGTTGTGACATAACTGTAGTAGTTAGACATATGGTATCGCGCGACTATTTTGTAGATATTGGTATCCTCTATAAAACTTTAGTACATTATTTTGCTCTATTGTCAATGACTTCCACAGCGTACGCGATATAAGGCAAGTTTTTGGTATTTTTTACACACGTTGGGTTACATTATCGAAGTTTTCATACGGAACCCTAACTTTTTAAAAAAATACACTATAGCCTATATTAATCAGTGATAATGTAGCATTCAAATGGTGAAAGAATTTTTAAAATCTGTTCAGTACTTTTTGAGCCAATTCGTTACAAACATACTTACATACAAATCTTTTCTCTTTATAATATTAGTGTAAGTATATAGTATAAGTATAAATATGAGGATATTTGAAATCTTATGTCACATGCATTGTTACTGACAAACTTTCAACTACCTAGATACTACAATGATGGCGGCTCTCTTCCTTTGAACTTGCAGTTTTGCCTATGAAATTTTCCGAACATAGGAGCGAAATTGAAAGTCATTCGATTTAATAGAAGAATAAAATTTTAAAAGTGGGCCATCTTAAGAACGCTGGAAACTTGTTATATAAAAGCTGTGTTTAATAAAAATCAAAACTACTGTAACACTCTCGCAATCAGGGATAGCCTTAGGCATTGCGAGGCTCCGGGCGATAGGTAAATGCTTTTTATCTGACTTCACCAAAAGGTTAATGTTTTCCTGGTTTCCAAGTGTATTCATATTCTTTGGTACGCTCTGCAGCCTAAACGGCTTGATTTTGGTTTAAGAACTGTCGTCAGTTGTGAGAAGGTGACAAAATTATAAAAAATAATATGACATAGCCCAAATACGCTGACGGTTGTGACAGTTAATACTAGTACAGCCGTCAACGAACCTCTTATATGTGAAATATATTTAAGATTTATTTCCTCTAATTAGTATATAAGAGCAACTGTAACTTTTAAGATAAATAAACCATTATTATTATTAATAAAATTAGTCCTCAAACCGGAAAAGCTCTCGCTCACAAAATTTGCGTTTTGTGATGGGCAACTTTGTAACTTCGCATTGTGGCTCGTGGCTCGACACGCACTCGACGCACTCTTTCCGTTTGTTTATTTTTTTATTATTATTTTTTTATTTAAAAGGTTAAGCGATGTGATCCAATATTTATCAAGTGAGGATGGTGAAAGATCTCCTATATTGTTTTTATCAGCAGATATTTAGCTGACTTATGTTGTTTTAAATCCCAGCCAAGAAGTCAAAGATCAACACTGTGAAGACAAACTGTTTAATGAGCCAAAGAAATTATTGCATATGCCGAAATATTTTAAAACAACACTCCTCTAAGAATAAATAAACGTTAACATAAAAAGCTATTCCAAATTCCAATTATTTATCTTCAACGTCTTCCTAACACAAGTAAACTACTGTGTTAATGAAAAAAATATTTAATTAGTATTAATTTTAAATAGATTCATGTTATTATTGTTACTGATAACAAAACATCATTTACCCGAAAAGGTCATTCGCTTTTGGGTTAGTTAGTTAGCAATACCTGCAACATAACAAGCGTTTCGTGTTGGCAACCAGCCAGCCTTTCCCTTCTTAACACGAAGCTACTTAACAATATCATCACAATAGAGGCTAATGGTCATAGATGGCTTGCTTTTATAAATTGCGATCACGCCACACCGCTTGGACCCGAAATAAGAGTATTCTTCTAAAAGTGGGCGAGGTTTAAATTGTCGTAAGGTCAAATATAATGGAACCAGTTGACGCGACTAAACCAATTCTTTCAAGTACTTTAGTAGTTATTGTGCAGCAATAAATACTTCTTGATGCAAGCAATAAAGTAGTTTAAAACATTTACTTTAAATTAAAATAGGGTGACAAACAAGCATGTGACTCGCCTGGTGGTAAGCGGTCACCAAAACCTAGGTTTTTCATAAAATTAGGTAACTGTAAAAGGAGTAAAGGTGAAGTCAAATATAACCGTAAAAATAGGTATACCATTGTTTCTGAAGTTTAAAAATAAGATTTCTATACACAACGATAATGCGAATACGTTGCTACTTGCGTTACGCAACCATGTTTAACGAAGACTACCAGCGATGTAAAAATGTACAATTTATTGAAGACTGTGGTGAGCTGGTGACCTAAATCTTGTTAGTAGTCTCCGGGTGAATGACCGGGGCAGGTTTTTTGCTGGCAAAGGCCTTGTTCCACCGGGCTATTGTAGGGCAGTATGTAGGTTGAATGCAAGGCCTACTGTGGACGGAAGTAGGCCAGTAGCATTGCGAGAATGGTGGGAAACCTGAGATCCACTTGATGATTCAATGTTAATGATCATTGCCTGGAATGTACGTTTTTTAGGATTCCTGTTTTGTAATATAAGCATCAACTGTTTCGATCCCATGATACTATCATAAATTCAGAAATGGCATTAAACTCCACGTATCTAGTATAGTTGGTCGTATTGTACTCTACGAAAAAAAAACTTTATGTAATTTAATTGATATTTTTCCCAAATGTAGAAATTCATTTATGTTTCGTTTCTGTTCTTATCAATACTGAAGATGAGTCAATACACTTTCGGTTTTCACTAAAACCATTTTTTTCTAGTTATAACTAATTAATTTAAAATCAGTTAACCTGCCGATTTTAGCACTGCATACAGCATGCTCCTCTTTCGTCCAGAGACAGTTTCTAGACCCGGAGTCTAATCACAGTAATATTATAAAGGCGAAAGTTTGTACACACTAAACTTCTTCACGACTAAACGGCTGGAGCGAGTTTAATAAAATTTGGTATGGAGTTAGCTGACTTCCTGGATTAACACATAGGCTATGTTTTACTGCGGGAATATATTTCTAATAAACCGCGGGTAACTCCGCGGGACACAGCTAGTCATTCATAAACAGGATTATTATTACGATATGTTTATTTAGTTGCTTTTGTTTTTCAAAAGACGCGAAAGTTCATTCACCTCTTAACAAAACAAAGATCCTGTGTTAAGTTAAGCAGGTATTTCTACTGCATTTAGATTTAGAAAAATTAAACACAAAAATACTCATTTTATGTCTTGCGCAGACGACAGACTTTTGGTTGCGGAGGACTTTTGTGTCCGTAGTTTTGACGGTTGTGACACAGTTAATACTAGTACGGCCGTCAACGAACCTCTTATATGTAAAAATATTTAAGATTTAATTCCTCTAATTAGTATATAAGAGCAATTGTAACTTTTAAGATAAATAAACCATTATTATTATTATTATTATGAAAAATTGTCGGACATTTGTCCCCCGAAAATTTTGTAAGGCGCACGCTATGGAAGCAATAAGTATTCTGAGAACGTTGTATATAAACAGAGAAGAAGTTCTAAAAGAGAACACTGGGTCTATCCCTTGATATCGGAATGGTTATGTGTGCATTGACGCCTCTCGTCACGTATGTTCTATTTTTTCTCGAGGACTTTATTTTTGTTCTGTTCGGTCCCTCGGTGTTCCGTAGATTTTTTGGTATATTTAATCCGTCGTGTGCGTTACTCGGTGCAGTAGTAAGCGATCTCTTACCGCGGACAAAAGTCCCTCAACTGCGCAGGCTAAAAGTATTAAATACCTATTTACTTTACTGCATTTGTTTTATTTGAAGTGTTCTTTTCTACCAAGAATATTTTAGAGACGGACGCTAATACAATGCTCAATACAGCTTACATAACCAGTGTTTGTCACCAATAGTAGGTCGGGAAAGCCAGAACGATTTTGTCAACATTAGAATGTGTACATAGCAAGTTATGTAAGACGTATGTGTGTATCGGATGAACGTGACTCTCATTGGCATTCGAATATTTAAATATTTCAGTTTAGTAATATTAACTTAACCTCATCATAAGTTAGTCACCCTCGTCTTAGCTTAGTTCTATAATCTTTTGTGGTTATTGGTTTTATTTTCACGTATTTTTTTATTCTGACGATGCAGACCTGAAAAGGCTGCGAAACGTCAATAAATAAATAAAGTTTCGTGCATTAACACGTAAAAACTAGTTTTATTTATTTTTTTCCATTTCATGGTTGTTCACATTTGCCCTATAACCTACCAACCATCATTGACTATTTCATAACGTTGCCAACATTTTACTTTCAAAATTTTATAGCAGATTTAGCGTTTAATATTATGATAAGGAAAATGTTTCGTATAATATTTGTGTGAGCTGTCTAATTGGTGTTCAGTACCCTTAGTACGAGTTTGAGCTCACGAAAACTATCATAGTTTTCGTGATTGTAAATTATGTTTCTATGTCCATTTTGGTGACAAATAACCAAAATACTTAAAATTTAAGAAGACGCATAAGATTTAATGATTCAATTTAAACACTGTTTATTTGAATTGAAACGAAAACAATAAAATCAGTACCTGCGAGCTCACGAAAACTATCATAGTTTTCGTAATTGTAAAACTCGTACTAAGGGTACAGATTAGTTATAGTACGATATAATCAAGAGTCTTGATTTCAAAACCTGGATAAATGCTCCAGTAATTTTGTTATTAATATTTAAGTCACAGCAAAGTTAGTCTATTCTACCTATTGTTAAAGTGTGGGTTCAGTTATGCTGCGTCTGAGAAACATTTCATTGTTGTTACTCTCTCAAGTGTGGGTTACTATATGAAACCCTATGATATTTGTATACGAATTTAATAATCCTTAAGTTTAATGTTGTACCACCTTGCGAAAGGCTCTAAACCCCTTTTCCTTATTATCGCCACCATGCCCGTAGCAAGCTGCCGCTCTGCCTTGCGTAGTTAGTATTCTTTATGTAGACTTCCAAACAAATATTAATATGAATATATACAAATGGAATGGGGACTCGAGATCATGGACCATTTGCCATCAGTGAGTGGTCGCCGAAAGTGGATATGGTGGTCGAGATCAGTGTTGATTCTGCTAAGCTACCTTAAAAATCGTGTTCATTAGTATTGCTTTTTGACACAATCCTAGTAACTAAAATATAAAATGACAAATGCAAATAGATAACAATAACATGTGAGTATTTTATTTATTTATTTTATTTTTATGTTAAAAGGGTGGCAAACAAGCGTATAGCCCGCCTGATGGTAAGCGGCCAACATTACCTGTAGACGATACCAAAAATATCACTCGCTCCGTTGCCTACCCTGACCCAATCCCCTACCCCATGGCACGGTAATAATATCATACAGTATTCTAACTTCATACAAACGGTCGGAAAGCGAGTCATACCTACGCCACTCGAGTTCGATGTGCGCTCAGCGTGGTCGCGAATGCGCCGCCGCGCCGCAACGACGACCGAACGGTCTGAATTGTTTTTTATGCAGTTAGCCGTGCTTAAACGTGCGTTTTGTATTGTATATATTTGATTTAATTAAGTAGATACCTACATAATTTAGTATGGAAAAGAACAAACGACGATCAATATCGTACAACAGCACAATTGCTGTTTTTGGTTGCTTGAACTCTTCAATAACACACCCAGAGATATCATTTTATAAATTACCTGAAATATTGGAAAGGTGTCTTACCTTTATAGATTATTTTTATATACCTATCTACTAGTACGTTATTTGTTACTAATATTTAGGTATTTCGGTTTTTCCATCGGGCAAAATATATATAAAAAAGTGGTTAGGATGAAAAAAGAGACAAACGAGTAATCTACCTACACTCGCGTTAAAAACAAAACTACATAAAATACAGTAGGAGGGCGGCCCTACCGCGCGACGCAGCGCTCGGTGTAGGTATTTATTTCAAGGACAGGGCGGAGTCACAATACTGTATAGATAATATTACCGTGCCCATGGAGCCCTGAAACCCTACTCACCAATAGAATCATAACACAACAGTAGTGTTGTTATTTTACTGTGATATTCTGTAAGGTGGAAGTTACTTCCCCAGACGACTTCAGCAAATCTTTAATTAACTTTGGGTTTTAGTAACAATAACTGTACCGAAAATAAAATGTACTGAAACCCCATTGACTCAGAACTTTTGCCGAATGACACTGACGACTGATGACCTTTAACCGTAAGAAGATTAAGTGATTAATCGTATTACGTTTAATGATGCCAAGTTTTAAGGGAGTATTATAGTAGGGAAGCCCAAGCAGGGATTAAGAGATTTACTCAAGCGCGCGGCAAAACAAAATAATAACCTTCTGATGTACTCCACCATCATAACCGAGCCCTTTATATGGGGTCGAACGTCGAGGGCAGCAAAAGACAAATCCAATACACGTCCATGACTTTTGGTCGCGTCCACATCGTCAGTCTTTTGAATAGGAGGTACTGGAGGGTTCACGGGTTACTACCCCTACTATATCTCTTTATACTCACATTTAGCTAGCGCGAATGAGGTCGCCGCGAGGAGAACGGCGAGCGTTCGCCAGGCTTGCGTCGCCATCCATGCGCTCCCGCATTCACGCCAGTCACCACCGTCTGAAGACAAAAAAACATTATTATTATTATTTTCAGATACGATTTCTCTCGGTACATCCATGGACGGGAATGGAAAAGTCTTCTGATACAGACATGAATTGTTATTTCAAATGCACTCATTTAAAGATTCTATTAGGTAAGTATCTGAGGGGAAGGAGCATTTGACGGAAGGATCGATTTTCCAGCTGCCGACTGACATACCGTCAAACCGCTTGAATGTGATGCGGTCGGTGCATACGACGACGGCTTACGTTACGGCAAACTGGCGGCGACATCGAGCTTACGGTTATGCGTTTAACTAGTGGACTGAACTATTGAATAATTCCGTAGAAGAGACGAAAAAGCGGTTAGACTTGACTACTAAACGCTACACGATTATAAGCTTGCGGGTGAATATCTATCCACAAAAAATATAAGTTAGTGGACCTACGAATATGCCTTGCGAGTTGACCACGCGCCGCCGCCTGTGGTTCATGAGCAGGTTCCGAGGTGATACAATGCCGGTACGATACTGATTAGTGCAAGATAGGAGATACAGTGCAACAGTATGGAATTTCATACAGCTAATTCATTCTTAATGGTTTAAGTGGGGGTGTCGATTTGTCTCTTATTCAAAATGTTAATGTGAATTATAAGTATTGACTTAACCTAAGTAAGATACGTAACAATACAGTGCATTGCAAGACAACACACAGAGGCTGTGCTAAATCGGTTAAATTGTTTTAAGACAGAGAAACGGACAAAAGGATAAAATTACCTACAGTGCAACAGTAGGTAATTAATTTGACTAAGTAAAATACGAGAGAATCAAGCTGATTAATTATAGTCATTATAATAACAAATGTTTTAATTGATGAGCCATCTGTCCTGAACATTTGACCGAAGGGTTAGCTATTTAATGGTTATGCCGTTTAAAACAAGTTAATGTACACAATGGCAATATCACAAAGACGTTAGGTACTTAATTAGTACCACGAAGGGTATATTAGTGTATGCAACTCGACATTTGGAGAGATTCTTAATTATGTAGTATTAAGAAAAAAACAACATTATACAAATTAAGCAATTTATAAACTACTAGAGGCCGTCCGCGACTGTGTCCGCGTTAACTTAATTTTTTTGAGAATCCCACAGGAACCTGTAATTTTTCCGGGATAAAAAGTATCCTATGTTTTAATCTAGGTACTACCAACTATATGTACCAAATTTCATCCAAATCTGTACGCATTTACAATATAAGTAGGATTTTATTTTTTTTTTATTTTAGAAAATATTTAAAAGTACTTAAATATCTTCTGATCTATTTTCGCATAATGGATACCTATTACATTACGAAAAAAGGTTGGTTTGTTTGTCAACTGTATTGGTTGAATTCAAATGGCTGTTTCGGACGCGATCGGTCAAGCACATGGCCGGAATTCTAAATGCACAGACGCGAAATCCCCTGACAAATTGAGGTAAGTGGGATTCCAGGATGCGCTTGGTATATAAATTGTAGGTCCGTTAGTCACCCACTGCCCAGTGTCTGTCACAATCTCACAACATTGTTGTCTGTCCGTCGTGCACTTGCTTACACACATTGACATTTGAACACAAACAAACATTTATTGTGGCAGACGTTCATTCTGTCCAAAACAGACTATTTTTTCGGATTTTATTTTAAATCCAAAGTAGTCGTAAAAAAATAACTCAATACTCATTTTGCAAAAAATACGCTGTAATTAGTTTATGGAAAAAGGTTTTAATTTTTTCACTTTTGTTTATTAAATTATTCATCATATTTTATATGCCTACTTAAATAATAGCGTAAAGTAGTTCATTACTTAATCACAGTACACACTTAATTAAGTAATATCGCTTTTTAAATGTTTAATAATAGAGAAATGTCAATGAATAATAGTACCTATCGATCAATAATATGGCTTCGATTGCACATAAATAAATTGTTTAAGAAAACTAGTCGCAAAAGTGTTTAATGATGTTATACTTACCGAGGAACTTACGGTTACATTGAGGTACATCAATCAAACTATTAAAACCGGTATTTAAGTAAACTTAAAATTTTAAACCTATTTGCTAAGCAAAATGTCAAAGATTTAATTATTTAATTAAGTTCCATAGTTATTTCAAAAAAGCGTCAGTTGCTTATTTCCTCATCAGCCGACTTTATAAAGAAAGCGCTATTGTGATGCTGTTGGAACCGATGTTTTTTCTAAATTCACCATCTGGATACTCTCTATCTAGATATCATTTTTAATTATTTTTTTCTAATTATCACAATTATATAATATATATTAAATAATAATGTTACTGGTCAGCTTATTTTCAATATGGATGTTATTTATCTGAGATTAATTTAAATTTAATGTTAAATTAACTGCTGTCTCAGTGGAAAATAAGAATAACTACTACTTACTTATACACTTTAATTCCTTTGTTATTGTCAACAGCTAAAAATATTTTTTATATTCATGCGACGTATTTAACGTCGTTAAATAATCTCACGTTATTTATCGGAGATTAATTTAAATTTAATGTTAAATTAACTGCTGTCATAGTGGAAAATAAGCATAACTACTACTTACTTATACACTTTAATTCCTTTGTTATTGTCAGCAGCTAAAAATACTTTTTTATATTCTTAAGACACTCGTTCGCGTTCGTGAGCATTGAGCATTGCTGAATCATAAACATGTCCGCACTAACTAACTTAAAACAATGACTGTACATTCAATACATACACATCTCGCTTTAATAAAACTAATTACACTGTCTATTACGACAAATAAGCATCGTAACACATTATTTATTTCGTCTTAGAGGTGTATTAATAGTATAATAATAGTGTGTTACGTCTTAATAAGTATTATAAGTTATATAAACACATGATGCTGTGTGAATAGCGAAAAACGTAAAAATAGGAATTAACTGACTACCCCACCTTGTACCTTCAGTACGAACCAATATCGAATTATTCGTTACATTTGCGAGTGCGAATCGTCATCAAGAAATTTTGTAGGGAAACTTGAACAACGCCACAACGGACGTAACGAGAAATCGGGCTAGGGATACTGGGGTTAAGTGAAAGTGGATTTAGTAGCGAAGATAGTTTATTATGAAACAGAGAAATAAGAAATATACTGCACCTGCCTCCAGTGGCGGCGCTAGGCGTCGGCGACGTCGGCCACCACCGACGGCCTCGGGCCTGAGGGGGCCTCGCAAAAATTTTTTACAAGTTACCTATTTATTTTCGTTTCTTCTGGCCTGGCTTAGGTAGCCGATCCCGAACAATTCGGGGAAAAAGCTAAGCAGATGATAATATAATGACTTTTATTATTTTCGAATACGTGCGTGATGGAAGCGAGTAGTACTTTACGGGTATTCAGAATCGTCTGTCTGGCAACACTATTTTTGTAATTAAATTTCAATTTTTTTTTGTCATCATTTGATTATCAACAATAAAACTCGTTTACTCATAAGTTATTTTATAATTTGGCTCACTTAATTTAAAGGTTTTTTAGCCGTCCAGCGCCGCCACTGCCTGCTTCTACCCCTGTCAGTCAACCTTACACATAATAATATTCATACACTAGCTGACCCAGCGAACTTCGTACCGCCATAAAAATAGGGGCTGAGGGTGAAAATTTAGGGTTGTATGTATTTTTAATGCAACATTATAAAAATATAAAAATTGTCCAAAAAATAAAATAATAATGTTAGGGGCAGACAACCCACTTATCACTTAGGGGTATGAAAAATAGATAGTAGCCGATTCTCAGACCTACCGAATATGCCTAAAACATTTCATAAAAATCGTAAAAAGTACGGTCACTAACATTGTGACACGAGAATTTTATATATAAGATATAAGGCGAATAATTAAAAATATCATCCTGTTAATAATATTACCAGAACTTACTTTTTTTTACATTTATTTAGAACGATCGCTGCATGGTAGGAATATCAATATTCTTGTTTAGGAATTTTAAATTGGATAATCCTTACTACAGTAGTAATATATAAAAAATATTGCCAGTTTCTTATTAGGAGCACTAGCAAAATGATTAGATAAAACAACCAACGTAAAGCGAAAGGTTGCTTTAGCGAGGCCAACAACGAATCGACTGTTGCGGATAAACTAGATAATATTATTTTATAATGACTTATCTAGATCTAAATCCAATTTATACAATGTAAGGGACTGGAATTGAAGCACGCTTTCTGGTCAACGTTTTATCTGGTACTGTCAATTTACATTTTTAGGGTTCCGTAGTCCTGACAAGGAATCTTTATAGTTTCGTCATGTCCGTCTGTCTGTCCGTCCCCGGTTTTGCTTAGAGGCTGTTAGCACTAGAGAGGTGTACTTTTGTGGGTATATGTATATCAATCATACCGACAAAATGGTAGAATAAAATTTTGAATACAATTTTTGATAAGGTAGCTATCATGCCCCTACATGTAACCTGGGGATGATTTTTTATCATCGTCTACCCCATCGTGTGGGGTATCGTTGAATATCACGATCGTTGAGATCCTTTTGCGATATAATGAACTTTAAAGTGCTAATTTTTGATCGTGTAGGAAGTCCCCTCTCTCATAGTACCAAACTATTGCTTGAAAAATCTGGGAAAATAGTCGTTCAACTTTGTTAAAGGAAATTTCTTACCTATTGAAAATTCCTTAAGTCAGGTACTCATTAGCGAGCTGTAACCGTAACATGCGTGATACAGTACAAAGTTCTAGTGTGTATGCTTGTAGCTCAGTTGTAAACGTCGGCTCGCTGCAGGTTAGCGAACCACGTACACACTGCTTTTTGGATACAGTCAGACCCACCCGTCTTTCCCAGGACAAGTGCCCAGGGCCCCGCGATCAATAGGGGCCTCCCACAGATCAAATACAAAGTCCCCAGTTCGTAGTGGCCCCCTTATCCTAATATGCCCAGGGCCTCCAATAGGTCAAAGACGGCACTGGTTACAGTGCATGCAACGGTTACGGTTACA